ATATTTACACCAGGAATGATACATTACTTTGGCTATCTTCTGGGCACCCAGGCGCGAACGTTGGAGATAGCCTCAGGACAAAATGCTGCTGGATTTATGGTGGATGTCCGTAAAAAATAAGGATGTTGCATGATTTTGCATGGTTTTATCATGTTTTATCACTCAACATTGGGATTTATTGATGATCAATGGCTTGGTTTTTTCGGGGAATTCTGGAGGAAACCATGGGCTACCCCACGAATTATGCAAAGTATGGGGAAAGTAATGCTGATTTTTCCCTTCAACCCACTAGAAGCCTAGAAGCGACAAAATGGGATATGGGAATCGGTCAAGACCTATGAAATTCCATATTTGGGGAGGATGAATGATACGGTGGATGGTTGCGAAATCCTGCACCAGTTGATAGATGGTTTATCCCCTAATTTATAGGGTTTCAACCATCCTTTTGGTGGTGCAGGATTCTTCCATCCACAGTATCATGATATTGGTGTCCCATCATAAGTTGGAAACCAATCTTATGTAGATGCTTGGTTTCACACAACGTGAACCTGTCCGAATGTTCCCTTGCGATAACCTGATACAACAAGTGGTTTACAGTTGCAACAGGATTCTGTCGCGAGGTAGTTCCTTATCAAGCCTGGTGAATGGATCAAGAAGAACAAACCCATTGAGAACTGGTTGGGTCCACTGTTGAGTCACTACCATGCAGGGCCAAGAAGTGATACCGATGGCTGCCAGGAATCGAAACCAACCCTTTAAAACCGCCACTTAACCGTATCGTTATGGGTAGAAACAAATATACACATTATCTTATTAAAAAGGTATATGACGATTTGCCAAAATGTCTTTTCCTGGTTTGGTTGATAAATCGTGATTCCTTTTAAAACCATGACTGACCTAAATAGTCTGAAACCCTGCATTTTATCTTTCACGTTTGAAGCCGTATCTAAAACCTGCAGTAAATGCTAACGCGCGTCTATATGAAGTGGGTGCCGCTGCTATTTATTAGTGGTGGAACTGGAATATCTGCAGAGCTGGTCGTTGCCTTTGCTGTCACTGTGGCTTGTGTCACACAAACAGGACAAACTACAAGTTTTCTGGTGGCGGCTGGGTCACGGGTCAACCAAAGCCGTTTTTTGAAACTTTTGCTAGCGCATTGCTAGCGGGTAAAATTACGTACAAATTCGCAAAGTTGAGCCACAACCTCAAAAATATAGGAAAATTGTTGAGTAGCACAGAAATTCACTAAGACATCCTTAGGTTTAAGGAGCTAAGTGTTACATCTTGACTTTTCTTCATGTTGAAATAACAAGCAAACAGGAACACACAAAAATATCCTTGACCACGGGTGTGAAAAAAACTAGCGCAAACCTAGCGGGTTTGCTAGCGCTGCCTTGCAGAATTGGTGAATTTAGTTGCGTGCCACCTCATAACCAAAAAGAAAAAACAATAGGTCCACACTAATTATCAACAACTAGTACAAAACTTCTGTCAACTATTTTTGGCAAATTGTCATATATATAATATAACTATATATAATATATATATACATATAATTATATATATATAATTATATTATATATATATATGGTGCCCCCCCCTGTACCTACCCTTTTTGTACTTTTATTGGTATTTACGGTGTTTTTTGCATATTTTGGGGTATATATTGTTTTAACGTTTTTTCAAATAAATTTGGACATAGTTTCGAGGGGGAGTACCATATAAATATATATATATAACCGTGGATGTAAACAAACTTGTGAGACATGATGGTTCTGGCATCAAGAGGTCTTAGGAGGTCCTAGGACCTCACTGGAACCAAGAACCAAGACAAAGATTGCACAGAAAGTCTTGGGGGAATCTTGGTTCTTGGTTCTTGGTACTGGGGAGGTCCTAGGACCTCTAAGTTCTTCTTCCTTTCAGACTATGTCTTAAGTATAATTCATACTAATGTTGAGCCGAGCTAGTGTTTTTTCAAATAACTTGTTATCTGAAAAATTGCTCCCCTCCAGACACAAATCAACAAAAACCACTTCATAAACATCATCAACCAATAACCCATAAAATCACAACAACACTCAACCACAGAACCCTCAACCCTCAAAAATTCTAACAGCATAACCTTGCCCAACTATCATCACCAAAAAAACATTATAATTTATGTGGTATTTTGTCGGGCAAGGTTAGGTTGATAGAAAAACTACATTATAAGAAGATGTTTGTTGAAAATTATTGTATTAAAGTGTTAGAGTATTTATTTTACGTAGTATTTATTTAACTAATATGTTCCACAACTTCTATTACATCTATCACAGTATATGGTATTATATTGTCTAATGTATGGGTATATTCATTATTCACCCTTTGGCAGTTAAATTTGTTGTTATATTTCCACCTTTAATAATTGTATGAAACCCACATCCACAGTAATTGCATTGGTTAGTTATATTATCAAAAAAACACTTAACATTCACATAACCTTCTTTTGGTATTGTTCTTTTTGCTTTCCTGTCCTGTTGCTTGTAATTTTCATTTTTTCGTTCATATTTACTTTTCATACATTTATAATTGAATTCATCATTTACATCATCACTATATTTATAAAACTTTACTTTGTTTAAATCTCTTGCTCTTGTAATTGCTGTCCATAACAATTCCCTATAATTTCTAATGTCAAAATGGTTATAATCAAATATTGTTATATCTCCATCTATACTACAGTACTACCTTGGGCAGAATGGCAGGTGGTGCAATGAGCAAATATAAAATTATCTCTTACCTTCTTAATATTAGTTTTAGTATTTTTCAATGTCATTACCCCATCCTTTCCAATATGGACAATACCATATTTAAAATTCACATTAGGTACTGATGTAGGGGTTTTAGTGTATTCTCTACATATCAAAAATTCTCCCACTTCATATTCATCTTTTCTATTTTCTAGTTTCCTAATTTCACTTGCTACATTCTTACAGGTATCATTTGTGTAGGCAATGTTATGCTTTGAACCACTTATACTAGTAGTATATCTGAAATATTTTTCAATTACTTTCTTCTTGAAAGGTAGTTTATTTACAAGAATAGCAGTTTTTACATTGCTTATGTTTGTCTTTATCCTCTTTTGTTTTCAGTTGCTTACATTCTTTTAATACTATACTATTTGTGAAAATATTGTTTATGATATGGTCAGCATATACTTCATACTATTGAATGTTAGTTAGTGGTTGAATAGGTTTTAGTTGCTTTGTGTCTCCTGTTGCTACTATTATTTTGTTGTTTTTATTCTCTTCTACAAATTGTTTTATTGTCCAGTAGGTGCTTAAACTACTGAAGTAAATTTCATGAAAAACTATTACATCATACCCTGAATAATTAAATGGTTCTAACATTACATCACCAAAACTTCTACCAAAAAACTTATTTAATGTTAGTGCGTCTCCTTCAAATTCTTGAAGCACTCTATTAGTAGGACATACAAACATTACCTTATACCCTTTACCTACCATTTTCTGACATATATAACTGTTGCCAGTTCCAGCATAAACCCCCCTTATCATAATTGGGTTATTTTCCTTGTTAACTTCTATGATATCATCAGTGGCATATTCATTTTCAATATCAATTACCAAAACAATGCACTCATCTGGTGGAATCCACATTGTCAACAAAGGCTAAAGGTAGGTACAGGAGGGGGGGGTAGCATATATATATATATATATTATATTATATATATATATTATGGTTATATTATATATATATAATTATATTATGTATATATGAGTAGCGGACAAAAAATATTTAAATTTAATGCCATTCACAAATTAGGGTTGTCCCCTATCCGTTGTGAGGATTTCAGTACTCCCGGAGGTACCACTCAGGGGTTATCGGTAAAGGGTCGTCCCCTATTGGTTATGAAGGTTTTGTGCAACCTCAGGAAGGCCAAGGCGCAGCAAGACTAAATTAGTAGTACAATAATTTTGTCGCTTGCTCATATAAATATGCCTGTACACTGTAGACATAACAATTTATATGTGTAATTATATTTCATGATATCTACCAATATGTTAACATTCTATCAATATATGTGTATATATAATTATGTCTTACTTATAGAAATTCTGTTAACTAATTTAATAGAACATTAATTAACACGTTGCAAATCCCGGCCGCCATCAACAGACGCGCCAAGGTGCTCGAAGCCAGAGCTTTCTCTCCGCCAGGCTCCGGGTGGAGAACTGGTAATCCTGCGATCCGACCCAACGGAATGGCGCGCGAATCGATGCGACGCCAAATCTATGCGAAATGAAGAACATATACATATAGAATAATGGTATTATATGGTAATGATGAATATATTATCAATGATATGGGTATGATATAGGTAAATTATCAATGATATAGGTAAATTATCAATGATAATGATAATGATGCTGATTAGTTATTGAATAATATTGAATATATGATGTTATCTTGAGCTGTTGTTTTAATATGTTTTAATACAATTATTATGTTCGTTATCTATACATTCAGCAAGCCTTAGAGGTGCACATCGAAGGCTTGGCAAAGCATCACATTTCCCAATGCCAGGAAATGGGCGCAGGAAACATCGGTGACACAGGATGTATCCTCTGGTAACCGAGCATAGCTATGGAAAACCACATTCATGTTTTAATGAATAGCTAAATCATCGAACTAAGAATTACTAAGAGGCTCATTTTTCCATAGCTATGTAAGGGTATAACTCGGGTACTGCATAGTTTTCATTCAACCCTCTAACTTAGTCACGGGATGTTCCTGGCATCTTGTTGCCACATGAAGTGGTTGATCAGTACTCCAAACAAAAGGGTTCAAACATGCAGCCGCTTGAAGGTCATTTTCGGCGGCCTTTATGCTCTGTCAATGAGCATCACAGCGTCCGAGAGCTGTAGGGGCTATCGACTATCTAAACACGACGCCCGTGAAGCTTCAGCAGGGGCAGCTGTAACAATGCACGTGCCACATCAGGTACAGGTGCAACGAAAGCTGCTGATCTTGTCACCCATGTCGATATCACCTGGTTCATTTCCACTCACTTGCAAGGGATGGTTGACCCATCCCTAACCATGAAACAAATAGATTGGGCTCCATCAAGACGACTTCGGAAACTGAAACACTACGACAACTTAAATACGTTCATATGTATTCCTCTGCTCCAAAATCTACAATCTCAACAACTGGAAACTGTTTCAGTCAATCCAAGTTTCGGTTTACAACTACTAAACATACCTTCAATATATATATATATACACATATATATATACATATATATATACATATATATATATATAATTATATATATAAAGCTAGTGCATATTGATATCATATATATATACTTACACCAAGATATTTACCAAGATATTTACCAAGATATACCAGGGTATTTTACCAAGACATACCTTAAGAATCCTTAAGAATCCTTAAGTAGAAACCAAGTCACTGAGGTAGTTCCAGTTCTTGGTATAGGCATTGCTACTGGAGGACGTGGCATCCGCCAGGACATAGGCCGTGCCACTGCAACCACCGGACTGGTAGGCGGAGATCTTGCAACCCGGAGACGCACCAGCCAGACCTGGAAGATTCAGGGCTTCTGATCATTAGCCTCCGGTAAATTAACATAGACCCTGGCAGTCATCGGGGTTGAAAGACTGGTTTCCACTAAAAATGGGCTTATTTGGCTTATTTTCAGGGTCTATGTTAATTTACCAGAGGGTACTGATTATTGAAAATCAATGTAAATGATTGAATTATGATCAATGGGTATTTGTTAATGATTTTATAAATGAAAATTAATGATCATTAATGATTAATTGTATATCTGTTGGTTGCTCTGGGAAGCCTGTCTCCTCTACATCGTTATCTCATTAATGATGTGTTAATGAAAATTGTTTATCAATGATTTGTTAATCATTAATCAAAATGAATGATTATGAATGGTGATTATTAATGGGTTTATTTGAAATCTTAATGTGTGCGCGTGTGTGTAGGAATGTATGGATGTTAGGTGGTTGGGTAGGTGGGTAGGTGGGTAGGTAGGTACCATTGGATCACAAATTGGGTCCCCAGGGATTCATAATTTTGAGCCATGCCCATAATAATCTGCATAGTCCATCTTCATCAATCATTCACAGCGCTCCCATCCCCACCTGAACTCAGTTTCTTATTCCAAGACCCCGAGTTGTAGGTCGTGAGGTCGTCGCAACCATTGTTGCCGATCTCATAGTTCAACCAGCCACCCCCATAGTTTGAATTCTCCCACCTACAGGCGAATAGGGCGGTGGATCTGAGGTTGATGCACGTCGACGCTGATGTAACATGGATTACAACCAGTCCGTTTGGAGAGTGGCATCGGCAATTCTTCAGTGTGTAAGGATCTGATTCATCATCGTCCAGCGCTCATGACTTCTGACTGCAGCCAGAAGTATGAAACACCGGGGGGTTTTCAGCAATGCCCATCCGGCTCAAAACTAGGATCAAAAAGGAATGCTCAGATTTGCTCCGTAACAAGCAATCTTGGGGTTTGGGTGTGGCGCCGGGGCAGAAATGACTCACAAATGACAGCAATTTGAATCAATATTGTCCTAATGTCATTAATCAACCAACCAGTGGGAAAATGAACATCTACCCTCTGGTAATTTAACGTAGCTATTGAAAATGACCCTAAATAGTGGATTTTCCCATTAAAAATGGTGGATCTTTCCATATAGTTATGTTAGTCATTACCAGGGGGCTATAGTTTGAACCATGACACATTTGGTACCAGCACTTCTTATTCAAGGTGTTGATCTGTCGACGCCGGCGGCTGCGACGGCGACGCTCAAAGATTCCATGGTCCAACAGACTTTCCACGCGGCCCTGGGCCTCATCGTCCTTGGTGGTGACCGTGCTCCGGGTGGATATGGTCGTGTGGTAAACCCAAATAATCCAAGTATATATATATATATGCATAATATATATATATAATGTTATACAATATTTATAAACATTCACCCCCCCATCCCAGTGACCAAGCATGTGGCCGACCCCGGCCGACAGCAAGGGGGAGTGAGTCAGGGCAGGGAGGTTGCAAACAACAACAACAACAACAACACCAACAACACCAACAACACCAACAACACCAACAACACCAACAACGCCAACAACGCCAACAACGCCAACAACAAGAACTGGAACAAGCACAAGAAGAACAAGAAGAACAAGAAGAACTAGAAGAACAAGAAGAACAAGAAGAACAAGAAGAACAATAATAAGAAAAAGAACAAGAAGAACAAGAAGAACAAGAAGAACAAGAAGAACAAGAAGAACAAGAAGAATAAAAAAGAACAAGAAGAATAAAAAAGAACAAGAAGAACAACATAGAACAACATAGAACAACATAGAACAACATAGAAAACAAAGAAAACAAAGAACAACAAAGAACAACAAAGAACAACAAAGAACAACAACAACAACTGCTACTACTACTACAACAACAACTACTACAACAACAACAACTACTACTACTACTACTACAACAACAACAACTACAACAACTACAACAACTACAACAACTACAACAACTACAACTACAACTACAACAAAAAAAGAAGAAGAAGCAGAGGAAGAAAGAGAAGAAGAAGCAGAAGAAGCAGAAGAAGAAGAAGGAAGAAACATATATGTATTTGTTTTGCTGTTTCGGAGGCGGCACGAAAGCATATAGCTTGTGCTTTGCGGGCTGGCGAGCTGCAAGATGTCGCAAACGGGGTAGATAAACTGAGAAATGTAAGTTTTAGTAGGGTTTCGGAAAGGCCGTTAAGCATTTTGGGTGGCTCATTTTGTTTCGTTTTTGGACATAATGGGGCATATGCTAGTTGGTTTCGTCCGGAAAGAGAGGGGTTGCTTCCAATTTCTGGGCATCTTAATCCGGAAGTAACGTTCCAAAATATTGGCAAAAGAGCTAATACCTGATTTTTGAACAAACCCTTGAACTTGCCAAAGTATGCATCTTATGTTCTTTGCTTCATCAACCCTTATTTCTATGTCAGTGGTACTGTGGGGTCGCAGGTTAACATGTTTGCAAACTGCCATCATGCAAGGTTGATGGGATGATCTCTCGGAATTGATACCATGGTGCAGGCACAAATCCCACATCTAAGAATGCACCATGGCATCAAGTGCGAAATTTCTACAAACCAAACCAAAAGAAAAGCTGGCCACATGTCAAGCGAATTGTTGGGAGGTATCATTCAGCAATGTGGATCGATATTTTGTCCATACTTTCTAAGATGAATTGTTCGCAAAAACAGATTTTGAACTTCGTAGGTATAGTCATAGTCCACATGTTGGTCAGTGAATGGTGGCCTGATTTAGCTACCATGAGCCAGGCCCCATGGTTTTCCGGGGTCTGCATCAGGGGCGGCAGCCCTTAATCATCCCAAATAGGGTATACATGGGTATACCCAATAATTTTATATACCCTCTGGTAAACTAACATAACTATGGAAAATCACAATTTTTAATGGGAAAATCCACTATAAATGGTCATTTTCAATAGCTATGTTAGTTTACCAGAGGGTAAATTATAAAATAAACCCCCACTGGGGATGGTTGATGGTTGGGTTTACATTGGTTTGCCACATGGTCTGCCAATCGAAGAAGATGCTGCCCAGCACGTCTCTGGTCTACAAAAACCTAAGATTGAAACGAACTGGGCAATTGGTTCGCGCCCGAGGAACGCTGGACTCGTGATCCACCACATTGCCGTCGCCACCAGTATCTCCACCATACGTTTCCGAGTCATTCTTCTCCTGAACTGCGGTGAAATTGAGGACCTCAAGAGGGTGCCCCTTCAAGTGATCGGGGAACAGCCTTGGAGCCAACAGTGCGGCAGAATTTGCCCCAGATCCCATGATAGAAAGCGCCGGCTGCGGAACGATGCCAACAACGACCCTGAAAACCCAATGATCAAACATCACTCAACATCAGCCGATTTCGGATCAAAATTCCAGTGCCTTGAAGATCCGCAAACTGGTGCACATCCCCAAGCAGCTATGGCTCAAAATTGTGATAGCCATCACCGAAGATATTCAGTTGGGATGATCAAGATCTTTAAAACCACCAATCAGTTAGCTATTTTAGCCATCCCAAATATTCCTGGGGAAATGTCTCACCACCTCATAGCCTTGGTCTGAAAATTGTGTTTTCCCTGAAAATTGTAAGCATACCATGATGACTGGGGGATGGTTTATGACAGTGTTTTACCCACATTACAGCTGTTAATCACCATTAATCACCATTAATCACCCCCAAAGTGGATCTTCTGTCCACGTCACCTTGGACGTGGCCTCGACTTCGGCGGATCCCTCCTTTAGAACCTGCCCAGGGGGGGCCTGGGCTTCAGCAGGGGTCAAGAGTTGAAGAGTTGAAGAGTTCAATGATGGGTGAATGATGGGTAAATTATGGATAACTGATACTTGATATTACTAAAAGTCATACTTAATCATGTCAAACTGGCGCTATACATGCGAAAAAAGGCTTATGATTTATGTTCATGTTCAATCATGTCTATGGATTCCAATCCAACTTGTGATCCCAACCTTTCATCCCCCGCCCACCTTTCCATCCACCTGGCGTTGCAACAGCACCAGGTGTGGCACTGCAGGGCATCCATCACCGCTGCAGCCAGACTTGAAGGCACTGGCCACGAGCAGAGGCACCAGAAGGAACGACCTGGGCCCTCTGGGGCCCTTGAGGCAAAACATGGCGGATGTTTAGTGCCTTTTAGTACTAAACCGCAATTTGTTGTGAGTTTGGGGGGTGATGATTGTGATCCAGAGCCATGTGTGGAGATGTCATCAATCGTTATCATTATGTTAATCATTAACCATTTCCAGACAAGATCAAAGAGATGGAGTGTTTAACATTAGGAGGAAGGGAGTATACTAACCCGGAGCTTTTTTGAAACCTCAGACCAATCTTTCAGGAACCTGACTGCCTCACCGAAACTCCTAGGCTAAGCCTCTATCAACAGTCAACCGATCCCAACGGGCCAACGGGGACGCCATACGCAGCGTCTCTCTTAAAAGGTCTAACAGCATCATTCCTCTCCAAACATATCCCAAAACATTCCATGTTTACGACCAGGAACTCAAGAACTCGCATCCTTGCAAGCGAGAATACGAGTGTGCGATGCTGTAAAACTGGGTAAGATGAGGTACTGGAGCCCAAAGGCAACGTCAAGGCGGGATCATGGGCCATGGAACGGTGAACCTGTGGATTTGGTTGGTAAGTGCCAGCAATTTCAGGACTCTGTCCAGAACATCTCATCTCTGAGATTTCAAAGTCGGAGTAATTTCATGATATTGTTCATAGAACTCTGCACCAGCCACTTATACACATAATGTGTGCCTCTGATTAGTGTGAGGGCCCCCCCCCCTAAACAATTTGAGGATACTCTATAACTCGCACTTTTTTTTGCCCCCCCCTCAACATTTTTTTGGTCAATCAACTTAAGAAAGGATTTCAATTTACTTTCAATTGATTTCAATTTACTTTTAATTTACTTTCATTTTTTTTTTCACTCCCAAAAGTTGGTGCTCACAATAGAGTACCATCCAAACAATTATATTATTCAGTAACTGAGCCACTCATGAGGTACACCCTTGAAAAATTGTCTAGATGCTGTTTCTTAATAAGGGTTTAATAAGGCATCTAATTATTTGGGAAACCTTGCATTTTAAAGTTTTATCACAACTATGGCGTTCTAAAGTGAAAGGACCAGCTTTACCCAAAGAAAGGTGGAGAAAGGGTTTCGTTTTTTTTTCACTCCAAAAAGTTGGTGCTCACAATAGAGTACCATCCAAACAATTATATTATTCAGTAACTGAGCCACTCATGAGGTCCCCCTTTGAAAAATTGTCTGGATGCTGTTTTTTAATAAGGGTTTAATAAGGCATCTAATTATTTGGAAAGCCTTGCATTTTAAAGCTTTAATACAAATATGGTTTCCTAAAGTAAATGGACCAGCTTTACTCAAAGAAAGGTGGAGAAAGGGTTTTTGTTTTTTTTTCAACCCCAAAAGTTGTTGGGCACAATAGAGTACCATCCAAACATTCATATTATTGAGTAACTGAGCCACTCATGAGGTACACCCTTGAAAAATTGTTTGGATGCTGTTTTTTAATAAGGGTTTAATAAGGCATCTAATTATTTGGAAAACCTTGCATTTTAAAGCTTTAACACAAATATGGCTTTCTAAAGTAAAAGGACCAGCTTTACCCAAAGAAAGGTGGAGAAAGGGTTTTGTTTTTTTTTCAATCCCAAAAGTTGGTGCTCACAATGAGTACCATCCAAACAATTATATTATTGAGTAACTGAGCCACTCATGAGCTACCCCTTTGAAAAATTGTCTGGATGCTGTTTTTTAATAAGGGTTTAATAAGGCATCGAATTATTTGGGAAACCTTGCATTTTAAAGCTTTAACACAAATATGGCTTTCTAAAGTGAAAGGACCAGCTTTACCCAAAGAAAGGTGGAGAAAGGGTTTCGTTTCTTTTTTCACTCCAAAAAGTTGGTGCTCACAATAGAGTACCATCCAAACAATTATATTATTCAGTAACTGAGCCACTCATGAGGTACCCCTTTGAAAAATTGTCTGGGTACTGTTTTTTAATAAGGGTTTAATAAGGCATCGAATTATTTGGGAAACCTTGCATTTTAAAGTTTTATCACAACTATGGCTTTCTAAAGTGAAAGGACCAGCTTTACCCAAAGAAAGGTGGAGAAAGGGTTTCGTTTTTGTTTTTCACTCCAAAAAGTTGGTGCTCACAATAGAGTACCATCCAAGCAATTATATTATTCAGTAACTGAGCCACTCATGAGGTACCCCTTTGAAAAATTGTCTGGATGCTGTTTTTTAATAAGGGTTTAATAAGGCATCTAATTATTTGGAACGCCTTGCATTTTAAAGTTTTAACACAAATATGGCTTTCTAAAGTAAAGGGACCAGCTTTACCCAAAGAAAGGTGGAGAAAGGGTTTTGCTTTTTTTTTCACTCCCAAAAGTTGGTGCTCACAATAGAGTACCATCCAAACAATTATATTATTGAGTAACTGAGCCACTCATGAGGTATCCCCTTGAAAAATTGTCTGGATGCTGTTTTTTAATAAGGGTTTAATAAGGCATCTAATTATTTGGGAAACCTTGCATTTTAAAGTTTTATCACAACTATGGCTTTCTAAAGTGAAAGGACCAGCTTTACCCAAAGAAAGGTGGAGAAAGGGTTTCGTTTTTTTTTTCACTCCAAAAAGTTGGTGCTCACAATAGAGTACCATCCAAACAATTATTTTATTCAGTAACTGAGCCACTCATGAGGTATCCCCTTGAAAAATTGTCTGGATGCTGTTTCTTAATAAGGGTTTAATAAGGCATCTAATTATTTGGAAAGCCTTGCATTTTAAAGTTTTAGCACAAATATGGCTTTCTAAAGTAAAGGGACCAGCTTTACCCAAAGAAAGGTGGAGAAAGGGTTTTGCTTTTTTTTTCACTCCCAAAAGTTGGTGCTCACAATAGAGTACCATCCAGACAATTATATTATTGAGTAACTGAGCTACTCATAGGGTAATTAATATATTAATGAAAAATAAAGCAATAAAAAAAGATAAGAAAGGAAACAATGAAAAAAATGAAACAATAGTAAATAAACATAAAATTAAAATAGAAAAGTAAAAAGTAAAAATAAAAAATAAAATAAAAATAGATGAACTAAAAATAAAAATAAATTAATTCATTTCAAAACAACAATAAAGCATTTGGAATAAAAATAAAAGTTGAAAAAAAAACATCTGGAAAAAAATTCTCACAATAGAGGCTCCCACCCAACAATTAGCATGTTACTGAATTAGGAGCAAGAAATTTCTCACAATAGGGTACCAGGCTTCTAATCAGAGGCAAACATTATACATATATATATATTATATATCGTGTGCATTTTAACTGAAACACTGTCCCTTTTCTGGTTTTGGGATGTTTTGGGACACCACGTCCTGCTCCATTGGATCCGTCCTCCACGCTGAAGCAGCTGCAGTTGATTCCGATCTTCTCGGAGCACATGGCGCTCTCGTGGAGCGGAATCTCACCCACCACCACCTGGGGTGAAATCCATGGATTGCTGGGAAACATCCATGGAAAAATCCATAGGAAACCACAAGAAACCAATGGGTTTTTGATGGTTTCTATGCCTCAACAGACAGATTTCTGCTTTGTTTCTCTTAAACCAATTCTGGAAAAGAATTGTTGCTGTACAACACATCCTTGTCATCAGTTGCAGCATCAATCCAGAGAAAATCACTGCCCAATCATCAGCTCCCAATTGTGGTTGATTTGTAAAAATCACCAAGCTGCAATGCAATAAGGTGATTTTAGGGAGGTTCCATGTTGCACAATCCATTGTTACTACCAAACCATTGCCAACCATCATGTAGGGTTGTAGATATCCTATAAAGAATAATGCCCTTTACATAGCTATGGAAAACGACCCATTCATATAGTTCGATGGTTTACCTATCAAAAACAGTGAATGTCCACGGTTATGGCACATCTCTCCCGAGGATAAACCATAAATCCACCATTCGAACCATCGTTTATAGCCATAAGTTTAAAACGGCCAAACCTACTACTTGGGTTTAAGCATCTCACAAAAATGACTTACAAACATCAATCTTATGGAAACTAGTTCTCTTATGTTCTCTTATAGATATCATATTGAGGTTTCCTAAAATGGAGGTACCCCCAAATCATCCAAGCCATTATATAGACCAGTTTAGTATGTTTGATCAAAAAAGATCATAATCTTATAGTATAGAAACTAGTTTATCTTGTATATACCATTGATATCATCTATAAACCAATCATTTCCAACCGATTTCTAAACCCCAGGTGTCCCAAGAAGCCCCCAGAACCTGGCACTTGCTGTTCTCATAGAGAAGCATCTTGGCCATGCCCTTCTCATGAGCCTGCAACTCGAAGTACACCACCGAGGCGGTGGAGACCTGAAAGTTTTTGAGTTTTCCAATGGATTTTTTGTATATTGGGATGGTTTCAGGGTGATTCTTCTACCTGTTTTAATGGTGATTTTAGGCTGATTCATGGTCTATCTTCGCTATAAAATCCAGGAACTCCCATTTAAAATCTCTGGAATTATGGTAATTTAATGTAATTTATGCTATGTTTCTTGAATGTTGTGGGGACATAACAGAATACAACCAACAACTATTAGCATCTCTTGAGGGCAAGTGTTACATAGTGTCACTGGCAACTGATCCGTAGTACTCGCTGTTGATACAAGGGGATCCAAAGTGGGACAGTATGATTCATAATGGAATATCGAAACTAATGATACCCTCTGGTAATTTAACATAGCTATTGAAAATGACCATTAATAATGGATTTACCCATTAAAAATGGTGATTTTCAATAGTTATGTTAGTTTACCAGAGGGTAATGATAATGATAATGAGCCATAATGAAACATATATGGAAACAAAGAAAAAATGAAATAATATCCAGTAACATGCATAACATCCATTGTCTATACTAATGTGGCTCTTGGAAATATGGAATGTTATGGAATATATATATATGGGAATGACACTTAAAATGATACTAGTGGGAATGACAGCTGTCATGGGATATTTTTATGATCCACCAGTTGGGGCTTAAAAAACTATGGGGTCATAATGTCTAGCTGGTTTCAAATATGTTCAGGTCATTGGGGATCATCATCATCCCATTTCTGCGGTTGATATTTTATGAAGTGCTAGAAATCACTCATTTAATCAGATTCTGCTCCAGAATGCGGCTTTAATAACGGGTTAACATCTATTTATAATTTTCGATGGGATTTTAAATTTTTGAAATGGTATATCCCATTAAACCAATCAGTACTTGGGGATAGAGTGGGGGGTTCCATGTGGGGATAAACATGGAACCCCCCCATCGTCATGAACCAAGATGAACCAAGTAGAGTCTCGAAACTGGCTCAACTGAGGTGGTCAAAAAATGATACGATCTGGAGGAGTGTTGTGAGTCCATAGTAGGGACATACAGTAGGGTATCATGGGATATCATGGGATATCATGGGATATCATGGGATATCATGGGATATCATGGGATAATCAAATAAAACCAACCATAATGAGGATATCATGTGGACATATTCTGTATAACTTCACCATTTTCATAGGGGTCCAACCATCATGGGGCTACACGGCTTTCAAATATCAATGTCCGCTGGTAACTTTGACGGAAGCCGTGAAGCCCAATCGTCAAAACCATGTCCCTACTTGGGTGTACATCCCACCTAGTAAGTGGTTTATAAGCCATGTATAATCCGTATATAACCCATCTATAACTGGGATGCACCCCCCCTAGCCTATCATTTGAGATCTCTGTGGACCTCCAGTGCTTCCCAGGGACATCCTCGTGATACACCACATAGCCGGCCATGAGTCGTCGCCGGGTTTGAGGTGCTCCCTACAGCGATGCAGGCAGGAAGGGTATGATGTTGGTAGCAGTGGACCCATACATTTTCATACATTTTCCGTTTTTGCTTTGGTATCATCAAACATCATCAAACCATCTTTCATGCGCGACATGAAATGAAAAATGAACATCAAACCATATCAAACCATCCCATCTAAATTAAACCATTCTGGGCCTTCAAGATGTTCAATCACTGAACGACCCCTGAAGATTTCACCCCAAAGCCGGACCCAGATGGCACCTGCAAGGGTTCACAGGTGATGCGGAAGGGTGGAAACAGACTCTGTGTCACCTGTTGTCCAAGGCAAGGCGGCAAGGCAAGTGATGGTAAGACATGGCGCAAGAAACTTGGAAGGAAACATCTGATGGTAAGACATGGCTTAAATCCCATGAATATCCCATGAATATCCCATGAACATGATGTTTTGATGGTGCTTTGAACGGAAATTCTTGGGATATTCATGGGATAAATGCAGGTTTCATGGGATATTAATGGGATATACCGATATACCCTCCGGTGTCATCAAACGTGGCTTGCTGGAAAATCCCCATTTATAGATGATGTTCCCATTAAAACATCCGTGTTAATCGGGGATTTGTCCATCCCCTAATTTGGCTACCAAAGTGGTACTGCCATGCAAAGATGTGTCACATAAGGGGTGTGACTTTCGCATGTGAATGTGATTTCTTCACAATGTCACAACTTTAGATCAAAATGGACTTTTTGCAAACAGCGCATCCAAGTCCAATCAACACGTAGAAGCAGACGTTCAGATGGTTTGATAAAGATGACATGTTAAGCCAAGCGAACTTGAACCTCTGACAGCATTAGACCAGCAACTTTCACAGCAAAAAAAAAACGCAAGACAACCCTTTCCCGATCATCCCAGTTCCACATTGCAGACACATCTGACGTCCAAGTGGCAAGTCGAATGGCTCGAGAGACATCCAGTACCCATCGAGACCGTTCCTCCTCAGCCCATCTCTCATCCTCCGAGCGGACCCCGAAGTAGTAGCAGGCGCTATGCCTGACGAGGCTACGAGGCTCATCATCCTACCCTCAGTAGAAACCCCTTCAAACGACTTTGTACAATTCGAAGAGTGGGCGCAGTATATCCAAAAAAGTGCAATTGACCCCATATAACTCCCATGAATAGAGTATATTAGGGAGTATATGGCAGGCCCACAGTGTTTGACTTCATCTGCAAATAATTACCCGAAAAATAACTACACCAATGGAAGGTATCCTTGGTGTGCATTCCAGTTATAAGCAAGTGATTATATAACCATAGTTGTAAAGCTGTAGGGGCTATATCCAAATTTATGGGGGGTTAACCCGTAGTTTTTCCCATTTCTCACCTCAGCCGCACCCCCGAGTCTTCCGGTGCCAAGGTGCGCAAAGAGGGAAATCTTGAAGATCTTTACATCCTACCACCAAGTAATCAAACATGGCTAGCTGGGAAGTTCCCTCTAAATGGAGCTTTTATTGGGAAAATCATCTATAAATGGTGTACCAGTCGCATTCAAGACTTGCATTAGCTCATAGCACTCTGAGGTTGCAACGGTCAGTGTCGCATTGTAGCCTCTGCTTTCAGGCTCTTCTGATGTGAACGAAGAGCTTCATGGGCTGTTTGCAAACAGAAATCAGACCACCAAGTGACCATGAGCAAGGCTATAGTCTGATAAATATTAATACATACTAGAATGACATCTATGATCATCTACCCTCCACTAAACTAACATAGCCATGATGGCTATGGAAAATAGACCATTGATAGATGAGTTGCCTATTCAAAGTGGTGATTTCCATAGCTATAGTTTACCAGAGGCTATGTCTATTGAGGATTCATATCCCTGAGATTACTGGGCCACCGGACCGCTTTGGAACTTACAATTCCTCAGCCCCGCGCTGGGTAGGGATGTTGCAGCTGGACCGCATCGATCTGTGGCTGGAGATGGTGGGATTGACACTAGGCTCACCATGGATCTGGACCTAGTGTGACCTGATAAGAAAGGAACCCATCTCCAAACAGCGATGGAATGGCGTGCTTTGAGGGAAAATCTTAACCGGAAACCCTGGTGATTTCCCATGAAATATGGTAGGATATGGTAGGTGTCCATGGGTTTACCACAAGAAATCCCGTGAAACATTCCCTCGAGGTGATGGTGACACCCTTTGTTCCATCTCCATGCGAGGGGCCGAACCAACACGAAGGGCGATAGGGAGATGGACACTTCAACTCCTGCATTGGCATAGCTGGGGAATGCTGGGGATTCCCACTGGGGATTCACTGGGACGACATTTTTCGGGTGTAGGACAAACGTGATGAAATTGGGAGTCAACGGAGTCAGCGAAACATGGCAAGGCACCGTGCAAAGCACGGTCTGAAACAACCCTCTGGTTTTGACCTGCGCCCAAGACGTCTGCGGGAATCGCACAACCTGTACAAGTGTCAACCTGGTATCATGGAAGGGCAAGGAAAGGAAACTGTGTTTCTCAGCCCCCAAAAGTTATTGTTCCATGATGCTTGACTTGTTTTCTTTCGGCTTTCAGCCTGTTTCTCACGGCTTAAGACCTGTTCCTCATCTTCTATCATGAAACAACCGCTTTGGAGGAGTTTCAGAAGTGGTTCATGGTGGCCTCCAGCAAACTTCGTCATGCTGTCAGCCGGGTTGTGATTGTGAGGAACCCATCGAGGTCGGCCGCGGCAAACTGAAAGGCTTTCGTGAATTATCGCGGTTTCAAGTGCGCTACGGTCGTCATCACCCTGACTCTGCTCTGAGTTCAGCGAATCATACAAGCTTTTGGCATCCATCACACAAACGCTATGGGGATCCACAAAATTCTTTGAGTCAGAGGCAATGACTGTTGCCTTTCCTGAGGCTTCAAGGTACTGATCTTCTGTCAGCTGTTTCCTACGTGGGCTAAAATGGGACATGGCGATGCTCTGAAAGAAAGCATCCAGGTGCTCCAGTGAGCCTGTAGCAGCTGACATTGAAATCGCCTCGCAAAGCAATGAAGATGCTGCTTTGCGACGCAAACGCTTTGATCGCCACTGCATCAATGATACTGGGGCACTTTCACCACGGTTTAAAGCAGGGGTAGTGAAACCCAACAACCAACCATGTTGAGATTTTTCTTTGCCACTGGTATCAAATGCAGAGTCTCCTATCAAAAGTAAACGCAAATCTTTCTCCGGAATGGCATGAATTCTGAGAACTACCGGAAAGGTTTTCAAATGTCTCACTACGTCATTCGCCGCAAAGATGTGCTCCATGCTTGGACTCGGAAATGCTGAAGCCAAGATCGAAGCAGCGGATGAAGCATCGGGTCGACCTTCTCTCGATACCCAATTCAGTGAAGCAATCAAACCTCGGAGTTGCGTCTTTTCACCTTCTGACAGTTTGACATCGGCAGCGTTCTTTTTCAGTACTTTTCGTTGAGGCACTATGGGTTCCAGTCTGGTATAAATGAACTCATCCATGTTGCTTTCGAATGAAAAATCTGGCAGCTGTCGCAGAAATCGTCCAGCATAGTTGGTTCCCTCCTTTGATTGGAGGTCTTCAATTTTTCCAAACTTCAACATAGCTTCCAACTTTTGCATGCATTTGACATGTTCTGCGCCTCCAGCTTCCGCTATGTCGTCAACTTCAATGACGATAAAACCTTCTGATGGGGCACCCGGTTGAGGGTCTTTGGACGGCAGCGTCAACACGCAACGGTCGTAGCAGTTTACCACATAGCCCAGCTGCTCTGTCGCTACTTTCAACAGCGTCCGTCTCCACCAGCTTGGTCCGGAAACCAGTCCATATATTTCAGTTTTCAAAAGCAGCAACTGACGGTCATCTAAACCTTCTGGAGTTTCATCCCTTGGGAGTCTGCACGCAAGAGGTCTTGTCCTCGTTGTTGGCAGTGACTGCAAGAATGCAGTCTTCACATCCTTCACCCTTGTTTTCCAGCGTCTGCTTGCAGCTAGTTGAAGACAAGCATACAGTGATGTGGAAAGCGGTGTCGGCGATGACCTTTCCACTTCAAGTATCTGAGGATCTTGCCATCCAACTGCACAAAGTCTGGATTTTGGGTTTGTGGCATCAGCTTCAAGTTCAATGGCTTGCAGATGCCCTTGTGTCAGCGCCTTGGTTTTGTACTCCTCTAACTTCTGCTTGGAAACTGCGATCGGCTTGTAGCGATCGACATACTTGGAATCGATGATCTGCTCTGGGGTTTCGTTGGCAAATTTCAGGCTGTCTTCCACAGATAGGATTTCCACTGCACCTGTGGCGACCAAACTGTCCAGCTCTTTCTTGCGTGAGGCTCTGAACTGAACTTTCTCAGCTTCAGACAACTTGGAAAATTCCACTTGACCAAAAGAAGACTTGGCCTTGGAAACGTACATGCATCGATCTCTGGCACAGTAGCTCGCTTCAGCTTCTGACTTTGCAAATGAAACACCGTCATCTGTGTACGGCTTCAAGGTCAGCTGCCGCACTTCTCAATCAAACCTCCATGTAGCACCAACAAAAGCCGTTGAAGCCTGTCCTGCAACTTCCGCAGAATCATTCTCAAAGTCCACGACTTCCAGGAAAAATGACTGGCCTGGAGGTCTCGGCAAGGATGGAGTGCCAGCATGAAAGGGGTATGGTGTCCTTGGATTTTGCGAAGTCAAAGAGCGATTGCCAAAAAGTGGAGTAGGCTCGGTCACTGAAGTTCTGGTCATTGTGGGTGTTTCTGGCTGGTCCAGCAAAACATCACCAGATCTCGGGATCTGTGGTGGCGTATATGGACCTCGCCGCATTCTTTCAGTGAGTGAAGGGCCAAAAGATCTTGAAGACATTTGTTCTGCATTTGCCACTGGTGAAGTAGCATCTGAGGTCACCTCCATTGGCGCTTCTTCTGGAATCACCTGCATAGGTGCAGCGCCATCAACTGCTTCTGACACAGCGCTAGCACGGCGACTGGCTTGCTCAGAACCAGGCGCAATAGCTGAATTTGAGCCCTCTTCAGTTTCGCCAAACTCTGCTGTTGACGATGGGTTCGTCGAAGTTTGCTCAGTGGTGCTGCTTGTACTGGAACTCATAGTTTCATCTGCTTGTCCTGGTCGTTGACGTTGTTGAGATTCAGGTCGGTCTTCACGGATGTTCAAGGTACGCATGACTTCATCAAAGTACTCATCCGTTGGACCACCTTCGGCTGATACATCCTGGAAAACAACGTGGCCAGGCTTGTGGAGTTTTGACAGCATCTCTTTGGAAAGTTCCACTATCAACTCTGCTCCAAGTTCTTCTTCCGGAGTTGCAAGTCTCAACTGCTCTCTTGAAGCTTTCCACAAACGACCACGCATGGAAATCCATGTTGATTTTCCAGAAGGATCTTCTGCAATCGTCACACCAGGACCAACCCAACCTTTGTAAGAAGGTGAATCTCGAAAAACATAGACCCAAGAGCCAATGGGAATGTTCACCTGATCCGTGGTTCTTGACTGAGCTCTGATGCTTCGTCGAACTGCTCCTTGGTCTTGACGTCGAAGCCATTCTTGCGAAGCAACTTCACGGATCTGCCAGGCTCTATGGATTGGGTCTGGGGCTGCAGCATCCACCAACTCTTGATTCAACGCATCTGAGGACATCAGGCTTGCAGGGAGTCTCAGATTCTTTCCAAAAACACGCTGCATGGGACTGAAACCATATCGGTCCATGTATCTGTTCCTACATGCAACTGTTTCAGCAATCACCATAGGAAGTTCCTCCAGAGATGCAGCAGCTGCTTGAGCTGTTGCCAAAATCTTTCTTTCAGAATTCCACCAGCTTTCTCTGTGCGTGTGTTTTGCCATGGGCTTTGAGCATCTATGTAGTGCAAACCAACACCAAAACCGCCAATGTTTTGTTGCAGCTTGTCGTTATAGAACTCCTTGCCTCTATCCATGATGAGAAGAACCGGAGGGCCATAGTGCTGCAACCAAACCTTCATGAAGACCTCGGACTTCTTCTGCGGATTTATCCTTGCAAATGCTAGCCTGCTGGAAGTTTGTTCCCCAGCAGAGCATGTTCAGCAAGATCACCTGATGACCTTTGAAATCCAAAAAGCACAAGTCGATGCCAACCACTGTGTTGAACTCAAGCGCACGCAACAAATGACCAGGTCTGGAAGGTTTTGGCCTGGGTCTTGCATCGCAGGTGGGGCATCGGAAATGCTTCTTGGTCCATTCAATGATGTGATCTCGAACACCAGCATTTTGCAAAGCACGCACAAAAATCTCATTGCCAGGATGTCCAAGGTTTCTGTGAACTCTATGAACTTCTCGGCGAAGATTTGGAGCCAGTGAAAATTCTCCATCATCGCTTTTCTGGAAATCTTCAAGTCTGCTCACAGCACGAGCCACACCTGGCTGCTCACCAACATGTCTCATCTGCCGTCTGGCTTCTGCAACCATATCTTCAACTTCTTCGCCTTCTTCTGGGGCTTCAACATCCATGGACAGAGGCATAACCGCCTTTGACGAAGTTCCAGGTTGAGAAGGTGTACCTGGTTCCATGGATTCCAGCCGTGCAGCATTTCGAAGTCCATCGTGCTGCGGAAGTCCAACGGCTGTTGCGGATGCAGGGCCCTCCTGACCGTAAAGTCCAAGGTCAGGGTGAAGTCCATAGGCCACAGTGACGTCAGCATCCACTTCCAAGCAATCTTGAGCAAAGACATGAGCTTGGGACCCCAAATTCTTGCCATAGGTGAAGGCTTGTTGAAGATGACTTGGCTGTTTGAAGCGTGCCTTGATTCCCAAGGCTTCTTTGATGCCGCTCACAATTGCCTTGACAAACGCTGGAGTGTAAACTGCAGCATACTTGGCGGCACCACCAATCAGTTGACCATGGTGATGATTCTTCTGGCAAACTTTGTGAGCATGGGCTGCAATCTCATCGATGTTGGTGGCCAGAATGGTTGGCTTCTGAACAAGTTCTCCTTGATGCGGACCGCATTGTGCACGGAGTCCACACTGGCACATGTCGGCTCGCACCAAGTGGACCTCAGGGTTTTCAACCAACTTTTGCACTCTTGGCTTTTGCCATGAAGTTGCCGGTGCAGGCTGTTCCAGAATGAAACCTCTGCCCTCTCTCATCTGCATCTCTGCCAGTGACACGCTAAAGTCCATGTGCTGGTCACCTTCAGTTTCTTCCTGTTGAACTTGACGGCAATCTCGTTTGTGGTTTGTGAGCCGTCGCAACAGAGAAAATGTAGTGCATGGAGGAGAGAGCAACAGCACTGCAGGGCGTTTCTTTGCTATCAACGCAAGGGCTTTCTTCCGATGCTCAGGAATCCGGAAGTCCCAGCCAGTAGTCAGGTCCAAAGCAATGTGGCCTTTGAGCCCTTGAAGATAGGCTTCCTTGGTCACCCTGGGTGGCGAGTAAACTTCACCAACGTGATCCAAGTAGTTTCGTAGTGCTCCAACAACAAAATGACGTTGATCCCGATCCAAAAACTTGGGCGCTCCTTCAAAGTCAGTCCGTGACAACTCCTTCAAGCTGTCGTTCACAAAAAAGGAAAAACGATACATGCCATCTTCGGTCCTGTCGCCACTCAGGCCATCAAGTTGAACCTGGTTGCCCAGCAAGTCATTCAGCCTTGCACTGTATGTGGCAGCCACGACCAAATCATGACATATGAAAGCAAAGCCACCCGTGACATAGTTCCCAAGGTCGCTCTCGGCATGAAACATTGGTGAAATTCCCAAACATTCCTAAGGAAGAAGGGCTGCCGAACTGAGCCAAAGGAACTTGAGGCACTTGTCCTCATCCAGGTGGCATCACAGGCATTGAAGGCATTGGGCTCGTCGCTCCAATCAAAGGCATAGGCACTGGGTTCGTCACACCAGGCATCCCAGCACATCCAGCACTATTGCTTGGAGGCACAGAAGATTGTGGTTGTCCTCCATGCGCACTGGATGGCGAACTCACACCAGTAGGTCGGTAATTGTTCCAAGCAGGGACAGGGTAAAATGACGTTGGTCTGGTAGGAGTCCGTGCAGATGCATCTACACGGCCACCAGATTGCCACGGGTCCCCACCAGGCAATTGCATCGGATCCATGTCCGAGAAGGTGTCGAGCTCGGATGTAACCAAAGCTCCGCCTACCACTGTAGGACAAACGTGATGAAATTGGGAGTCAACGGAGTCAGCGAAACATGGCAAGGCACCGTGCAAAGCACGGTCTGAAACAACCCTCTGGTTTTGACCTGCGCCCAAGACGTCTGCGGGAATCGCACAACCTGTACAAGTGTCAACCTGGCATCATGGAAGGGCAAGGAAAGGAAAACTGTGTTTCTCACGGGAAATATCACCAGATGGGGACATTTATGGGTTTACTCAAGCTGTAGTTCACTTATGGGTTTACACTATGGGTTTTACATGGGTTTAATCCTGGTTGGTTGAGAACGGGATGCCTAGTGGATTCATGTGGATTCTGATCATCCCCAACTTTTGGAGGGTAGGAACTAACCATGAACCAGCACCTTGAATGGGGCTGTATGGGCCGTACCTACTGATATGGGACAACCGTTGAACTGGTTCATCTCTGGACCGAACAATGCTGGGATTGGACGTGCCAAGCACTACTGACATACATTCATCCCATGGATGCATCTTTCGAACTTCTCGCTGATCAGATGGGGCACACACCAAGTTCCAAGAACTCTTTAATTTGTTTCCTCATCTTGTTGCTCTTCCACAAGAAAGAACTCAACAGAAGACACGTTTTTTTTGTAGCTTCGCGCTCCCAAACCGTTTTGGCAGCGGCCCAGACCATATCAGCTTTGTGGGTGGTACCCCTTCGCCATCCTTCGTGTCTGAAGAAGAAGCCGTTCACATAGAGTGAAAAGTGCACTGCATCTACCTGTCACTACCACCATGGCCCCACCCCTGGGAGATGGGGCTGGCTAGTGCTGGCTATATATTGATCTCCAATGGTGCTAGCATCTCCAAATCTTCGGGTTGGAGGCAAGTGGGCTGGATTGAAAAGATCCTAGCTTTGGGGTTTGCCCTGTAATTTTCTCCCAGGATCTACAAGTAGTGTAGACGGTCAAATGCGTTCGACACCACATCCCCTGCCTGATCTTCTGCAGAGAGGTACCACAGATTCCCCTCCCTGATCCTGGGCAGGCTGATGATGCTGGGGGCTTCAAGCATGAATGAAATGGGGGAGCCACCATGGTGACCATGTCCACCTGTAGGTAATTAGCGTTCCCAAACAGTGGTCTACCATTCTCGCCCAGCAGCTTCCTGCCTATCTCAAAATTACCGGCTACTTCTCCCGTTCCCAAACCCTCCTCCGAAAACCAGCCCCAGAAAATTCCACCTCACCTCCCATCCCCATCTCCACCGAGCATCGGTGTGCCGCGCAAGGGCTGCTGCAGGGTCGAAAAGCTGAGGCCGCCGGGGGGTGACATGGCGGCATCCAGCCGCTGCAGGGTGTCGTCGCACTCCAGGGCGCCACGCTGGGGCGCCTCCGTTGCAGAGATGTCATGGGCTTCGACTGGAGCTAAAACACGTGATTAACGATGGATGGATGGATTCTCTCAGTAAAACAAAAAGGTTCAAGATGTGTGGTTCCCAGGGCCTTTCATTTTAGGCCCACATCCTCTGCTAACATCAAGCACAAGGCAGTTTCTGAGCAACGGACTTCGGGCACTCCGAAGTCCTCAGGACCAAGGCAAGACCCAGCTTCATTGCTGGACCTCATATTTATCTATAGGTACATATGTACATATGCAATTGTATTGTGATTATCTTGATACTATATAATTTTCATACAGTAAATAAATAATACATACATTGATATATATAATTATATATATAATTATATACATACATAGAACTGGTGAAGGGCTAACTAACCATGGAGAATCCTGGAGGATCCTGGACAGAAAGGATGTCTTTTGCGAGAAGGCCCGCTCAGCGGGGTCCACTTCTTCGTCAAATCTGTCAATCTTCGCCTCAGCCTTCCTACCAAATCCAATGGGGGTAAAACAATGTCATAAACCAGCCATGTTGGGAATGGTAGCCATACGATACCCTACCACCTAATTTTCTTTGTGGTGATTTGGGGGGTGGTTTCTGACATTGTTTTACCCACAATCATTTCTCGAAAATAGCCACAGATGATAGGAAATCATGGTAAAATCAATATTATATTGCACCAAATAATCATGGTTAAATCATGTGTTTTACATTGTTTTACCCAAATCTACATCAAGTACCATCCAAATTCGCATCAATTCCCTGCGATGTCGGCTGAGGTCCACCACGGAGGTGGGAAATGCCGGCTGCAGTTCGAACTGATCCTGGCGCTGCGGGAAACGATGTTTTGAAGGTCGGCATAGAGAAGCATAGGGTGAGAACAGATAAAACATGATAATAAAAAAAAAACGAACAAAAACATGATGAAGCATGGTAGACCATGATGAAACATGGTAGACCATGATGTCTATCATGATGAGACACTGTCCACCATGATACACCATGAGGAAACATCCTAAAACATCGTAAAACCCAAATTAAACCACCAACGAAGATGAACATATCCCTGGACAGGTGCTTGGGCTTCCTGGGTGAAGAAACAACCTTGAGCTTAAACAGCTTCTGGAAACTGCGATGCTCCGGGAAGACTCAGATTCGTCAGATTGCAGGGCAAAATGGGACAAGAGGTGCTGTCTCGATATCCCTCTGGGTATGTGATGCTAATTAATCGGCACCACATCTGCAAGGGATTGAAAAGCCACACAGATTAAGCCTAAGTGAACGCCAGCACTAGATTCATTGTTGTCTTCAGATTTCGCAACCAATCATATGTACTTTATGTTTTACCATGTTTTATGCCTTCAAAATCCAGAAGGCATAACCAAACCTAAGGCCAATTGGAGTCCGTTCTTTGTGCAGAGATGTGGTCAGAAACCTCTCTACTGGATTATTAACCATTACAAGTACTAACCATTATTAACCATTATTAACCATTACAGTACTAACCATCACTAACCATTACTCTCGAGTTCGGCTCTGCCTTCTGGTTGCCGGTGCCGCAGATACATCTGCAGAGCGTGCTGGACCTGGCTGGAGATCTTTGGACCGCAGATGGACCGCAAATCAGATTGAGGAAATACCTCATGGCTGAAGAGAAATCAAATACTGCAGGAATGTTTAGCACGAACACTTCCAATCCACTTGGGCTTGTCTGAAAAATTGAGAGAAAAGCTCATCATTCACTGGCTTACTGTTAAAATCACAATCTACTTGAAGAGAAATTCTCCAATTCCAGGTAAAACACCCTAAAACACGTCATATCATTCGTGTTGGTTCGTTCTGTCAGTTCTATCATCCAAGATCTAACCCCATGAAATCCCATGAATGTGGCAAACAGCCATAGACATCCATAGACCTACCATGTGGATTCATTTGGATGGTTGGAATCCCCTTAAAACTGGTGATGAATTGGGATGCCAACGGTGGCATCAATTCCCACATGAAATCCCAACGATGGCTCCCTTGGGATCTCCCCCTTGGGGATCCCCGAGGCACATATCCGCGCCGGCACACCTCAGCACAGTTTGCGAGGCTGCTGTAGCTTCAGTGGGAAAAAAAACATCGGAAGCCCAACCTATGGCTGTTCAAAACCCCGGCATGTTTCCTAAAATGGTGGTAGCCCAAAATCATCCAAATTTAGACCATTTTAGTACTGAAACCCATGGTCTAGGAGATCCCCCATTTTGAGAAACCCCAAATCTGACTGCTTCCCTTCTCCCAGATGGCCAGAGGACTGTTTTCTTCCTGGAATTAAAATCGTGTCACCATCAACTCACCAAACTTTGGCGACAGGCTGTATGCTGTAGACTCTGTCAGGTGGAGGCCTGTCTTCTCACTGTCCTATCGAGTGCAGGATCATGGCCATGATGGCCATGGGCGGCCCCAGGAATTGAGCTTGTATTTCTGCACGTCAATCTCATTCGGGATACAGTGGCCATTTGCGTCAAAATGGCAAAAGTTGCATCCAAAGTTTTTGCGAGAGCACTGTCCCCCATGCTTGCATGGGGGTTTGTTGCAATAGGCGCAAGGAATCTGGCCCTTGTACTTGCACTCTCGGTGATGGTGGCGACATGGTTGCTGACACTCAGCACAAAGCGAAGCTTCACGGTCTCGGGGGCAAACAGTGGCAAGCCGAAGGCGCATGTTCTCACCCTTCTTCATGACCCAACAGCGATGGCCCAACCATGCTTCAACATGGATCGCCGGATCGGCCTCCTCAAAGATCCACATGTTGGCAGGGGGGCCGGCGTAGCTCGACTCTTGGCATTCGGCATGGCTTGGAGCAGCATTGACTGCGGAAGATTGAGGCACCGGCAAGGGCCAGGGCGGGGTTGCCAACTTCTGTGGCCATCCTGCGTCTTTTTCACCCTGGTCATGGACTTGCCCATCTTGGCGATCCACTTTTGGTACCCCTGCTGTTGCCTGCATGGCTTCTTGGCGGACCTCCGGAACGAAGCCAGGGTGATCCTTCTCGTGCTCATCATCAGTGTCGGTCAGATCTGCCCAAGATGGCCTGTTGCGCGATGGTTTCGTCACCATGGAACTCAGATCATCAGTGTCGGTCAGATCTGCCCAAGATGGCCTGTTGAGCGATGGTTTCGTCACCATGGAACTCAGTTTCTGCAAGGTCAGATCTGCCCAAGATGGCCTGTTGCGCGATGGTTTTGTCACCATGGAACTCAGATCATCAGTGTCGGTCAGATCTGCCCAAGATGGCCTGTTGAGCGATGGTTTCGTCACCATGGAACTCAGTTTCTGCAAGGTCAGATCTGCCCAAGATGGCCTGTTGCGCGATGGTTTCGTCGCCATGGAACTCAGTTCCTGCGAGCTCCGCCCCGACCGCTTGAGCCAGTCTGAGGTCAGCCAATCCAAAGCGACAGGCCATGGTTCTGGTGATACAGTAATTACTGTTCTTCATCATGGTGATGCTGATGATGGTAATGATGGTGATGGTTGTTAATTATGCTGGTGCTGATTGCAACATTCACTCGACCATCCCACCGCCCTGGGCTGCCCTGCAGGCATAGGTCACCATGGAGCGATGCAGAGATTCATCACGAAGCGCGTAAGCACGGGCGTGGTGATCACCGAGAACATGTATGCGGATTAGGCTGGTTATGGCTGGTTTATGAATTTATGGGGAAATTTACAGGAAACAATGGGTTTTCCATCAATTATGATAATTATGGGGTTCCGGAGATTTTGCTTAAGGGCTCAAGTTAAGGGCCATGCAAAAGTAAGAAACATTACCAGTACCAGTAGATTCCTCAGATAGTGGATTCACAGTTCAGATCTCTTCAGGTTAAATCCTGTGCAGTGTGTATCAAGTTCCTCATCTGCTAGCTTTTCTTAGTCTCAGACTTTCAAAGTTGAGCCATGTCGAGCCACTTCCGGCAAACTACTCTGGAGGCTTTCAGATCTTCATGGGCTTTGCTGTGTTGCCACTTTGGGCGACTGGAGCCCATGTCCAACGCCAAGACGGACCTCCCATCAGTCCCACAAAATGGCTTCGATTGACTCCTACACCAGCAAACCTGACCTGCACAGTGCGCACCATTTTTTGCGCCAAAGACGATGTCTCTCGTCGTTGGATGCCCTTGTGACTAACTTAAGCATGGCAAGCGCAGGCAGTTTCAGATCGAATCCTTGCTGCACAAGTCAATGGACATACCCAAACGTTAGGGTGCTTGCTGGCGAACTGGCTCATCCCCCAACCATTGAAGTCATCCCCTTTGGCTTCAACCTGTAGCTGCAACATAACACAATCGGGGGGCCCAAATGATCACCCTTGCAGCTACCCTTGAATATTTGAACTGCACTGTCCTTGCACCAGCACATCCTAACCTATATACACCAGTGACATCCTACCCTATATACACCAGTGACAAGTGAAGGGTTTGAGCTACAGCGGCTACAGCGGCTACAGCGGGCAGTTGCGCTGTCGCGCTGTGTTGGAAGATAGCCATTGGCATCCAATCCACGAGCAGTGAAGCGTGCCAAACCTGCACGGTCAGTGGCATTCACCGTATCAGGCAGCGAATCAGTGGAAGTTCATCCCCAGACACAAAAAGAAGCGACCAAAATCATCAGCAAATGACAAGGGAAACCAATCTCCAGCCTCATGCACTGCAAAGCTGCGGCGACTCCTGGGGTCCAAAATGCTCAAACTTCCGAGTTCCACGGAGTCTAAGAACTTTGTCTTCAATGTTCCAGTAAACTAAGTGTCTTGGGATCTCATGAGAGTGTCTCACAAATTCAAACTTTTGGAATTGGAGAAGTTAGCAATTTAATTCCTGAAACTCATAAACTCGGAGTGAAAATTTGAATGTTTGGATTTTCAAAGTGGAAATGGCTCTCTTGTTCCGTACACTTCCTGATGACTTCCACTAATCCATCCTCCAGGAGATATGGCTCGGGCGGAACGTTGGTGGAGAGTAGTTGAAATCCATCCTTCGACACACAAAAGGAGGAGCGACAAACAACTCTGGACGTGCACAACTATATGACACAATTATATATATAACTAATGGTTGTTGATCAAAATTCCTTTATCCGGGAACGGCCATTCTTCGCGAATAAAAATGTTACTTTCGCGAAACTTTCGCGAACTCCATGTTTATCTTTCGCGGAACCTATATGTTAGGCAATCATGATATCCAACTTTCGCGAAAAAAAAATGGTACTTTCGCGAACTCGAAAAAAAAACTTTGCAGGGTTTCCAACATAACATGCACGGCTTTCGCAATAAAAACTCCTTACAAGGACCTTTAGATCGACCACCATATATATCATAGTATATATTATAATATGATGATTCTTGTATTAGAAACTCTGAACAGAAAACGACATAGGATCCATAACATTCCATGACCCTCCAACGCCCCAAGACGCCATGCCTTGGTGATCACACCATGTTGTTCAAACCTCGAGGGCATGCTGGCTATCCACAAGGATAGCTCTGGACGTTGGTGCCATCAGGTTTTGCCATGTGGCCAAATTTCATGTCATTTCTATTGGCCAAATTTCTGGAAAGCAAACAAAAAGGTTCACAGCACCTGAAAAGATGGGCACCTGGGCACCTGTGTGATACACACCCCAAGGACTAGGGCTAGGGTTCTTTACCAAATATATAAATGCGGTGAAAAAAAACTGTTATGACTCTGACCCTGCCAGCTACAAACAAGGCCATGAATCATCAAATCAATCAAATCATTAGGACCCCACCAAATAAATGAGGCTATCAATACAAACAAATGCCATAAAGATCCAAAAAGATCCATAAAGATCGTCCAATCACTAGCTTCGCATCTCAAAAAGCCAAGTGGTTGTTATGAGTCAAAGCCCCGGTACCCTGTAGTACTGTAGTTCGCACCAAATAGTTGGTATTTGTAAAGCTGGATGTTGATCCCTTCAAGTTTATGGCTTGCTGGAACATCCCTCATTTATGGATGATGTTCCCATGAATGTCTCTATAGGAATTTCCCAGTAAACCATATTACCATGTTGATTCCCAACGGGTTTGTCTCCCACTGCCATGTTCGGTGAATATTTCCCCATTACATTCCCATTATACATCATTGTACAATATTGTGCCACCATGTTTGTTGCTTAACTCCAAGGAGCTTCACACCTTCTCCGCCCTGATCTGAACCGATAAAGGCCTCGACGCTCAGTGTCCTTAGCCAAGCAGCCCGGCCCGGCGGCTGATGCTGGAGTTTGAAGAAATCCAACAAGGGAAATCCATGAAATCCCCTGTAAAAAAACCATCGACTATCATCAACTTCCCAAAATGATCGAGAATTGCAAGTCACTTGAGCTGTCTGGAAATCTGATCAAGTTGTTGAACACTGAGAAAAACACAGAAATCGACCTCCACGACTCATTCCTGATGTTTTGGCCCGCCAACAAACAGTGGCTGTCTTGAACCTGTCACTGCCCCACTTCAAATTTTCCAGGTCTTCTCTGCAAATACATGCAAATACTTTCATCAAGGACCCTTCTGTAGTCTAAGTGACGCTTGCACCAGGTGGAACAACAAAATCTTACAGTCTCCGTGGATCTCTGATCATTAGTATTAAATATATTAGCCGCAAAGCCTATGTAAGGATGGGTAAAGTGCAACATGTCAACATTTCTGAACCATCAAGAGATTCCAAGGAGCACCTGAGTCTGCGGTCAAGTGGCATACCTTCTTTCACGATGCCATCATACCCTGGCAGACTCTGGCAGACTCTGGTGTTTTGAAATGGGAGGCACTCGATGTTGATCACAGCACAACGTTAGTGCCATGTTCGATGGTGACAAAGAAGCAAATCTGTGTGCATGCCCAGATGTTTATGATAGAGTCTGACAGTCTGGAAATAAGCTATTTTTCATTCGGTCTACAGGAAGGTGTAGGACAAGATCTATATTTATCACACTTTTCGAGCAACCATCTCTACCTCCCACCATTCTTGAGACACTAACGGCAGCATTTTTGCCGCCGAGAAGCCGTAGGATGCCCAGTCCGAGGGATGGAAAATCCAGGGATACTCTCCTCAGCAGGATCTGATGACACAAAATTGCCCAACAAATGCCGTGGATTTGCAGTGGAGGAATGGGAAGATCACATCATAAGCACAGCATAGTCTGGCGAACTGAAAAATGATAGGACAACGCAAACCTGTTTAAAGATCATGGCACCAGTCCTACCTTGTACTGTAGCGTTCTGATTCTTTTTGGGGGGATTGCTAGCTACATCTGGTTACATCCAGAGTTTCCAAGCAAGGTTCCACTCATCCCCGTCCCATGGGTTTGCACGTGGTATTTGTGCGCCTGAAACTCTTCAGGGATGGGCCAGGCCTTGGTCGGCGATGGCAAGATGAAACGAAAGTGTATTGAAAGAAAACACACCAAATAGGATGCATTTAAAACAGGTGAATGCGTATGATTCTTTGATATTCTTTGTATTTTGAATGAATATGTTTGGAAAAGCGATGAAATAATAACCAAAACATATGGGTCACTTCACTGCATAATGCATTAAGTTAATTCGTGAACAGCCCAGGACTCTGGCAATGTGATGCTGCCCAAGTGACGTTAAAGGTGACGTGTTCAAAGGAGGCACCAGGAATTAGAAGCTCCATGTTGTGCTTAACCATCTCCTCTGACAGTCGGAATACCAGCATCAATGGGTTCCTACACTGTTTACATTACTTATTATCACTATCGCTATTATCATCACTATCATCATCTATATTATTATCATCAATTATCATCAATTATCATTAATTATCATTAATTATCATTAATTATCATTAATTATCATTAATTATCGTTAATTATCATTAATTATCATTAATTATCATTAATTATCATTAATTATCATTAATTATCATTAATGATCATTAATTATCATTAATTATCATTAATTATCATTAATTATCATTAATTATCATTAATTATCATTAATTATCATTAATTATCATTAATCATCATTAATTATCATTAATCATCATTAATTATCATTAATTATCATTAATTATCATTAATTATCATTATCACTATATTAGCCCTATATTATCACTAGATTATCATCATCATTCTTAGATAATATAACAGTGATGATGATAATTATATTAATGTCAATCCTATCTCCGATCTCCAGCACGCATGGACCATCTCCCCGCTCCATGGCCAATTTGTAGTGTTTCTTCTGCTTCTCCGTGGCTTGAAACCCTGGCAGGCCATAACCTGCGGTGAACGTGCGCGAAAAGTCCACGTAGTAACCTGAGGGCGATGGCGATGGACATGGGGAGAAACAGAAACGGACGGGAAACGCCGGCATTTTGTGAGATTCCCTGATCAATACACCATTGAATTGATTTTGAAAGGGTTTGGGGTCGCAATTGTTTAGGACACATATGCGGTCGGGTAGTGAATGGATAAACAAACGTTACTTGAACAAACAACTCGTGGAAGTATTATCACTGTTGTCTGGCAAACACCGGCCATGTATTGGAAAAACATGTTTAGGATACATGCTGCGAGGAATGGATGTGTACTACATCCTTTGAAACAGTCCAAACATGTCAAAAATGACTTGTAAATTGCCTCAGAAAACTCTGAAACCGTGGTAGCCTGCAAAGCACAAAGCTTTGGGGTGAATGTGGAGACACATTCACTGTCACACTTGCAAGAAATCCGAGACCGTGGGAAATGGTTTTACATGATTAATGATGATTGAAAACAACAACACATGAACTTGTATCAAAATCACTGCCCCACCATCCCCAACCCTCGAACATCCAATCCCCGACCAATCTCCACCATCCTCACCAGGCCCGTGACCAAATGGTCCCACAACGTCTGTATCCAACTGGACAGTCTCCCCTATGTTGATGCGACGGGTGCCGCTCTCCTGCTCATGCCACAAGCAGTCAAAACACTGGTGGGACATCATTCATTGCCCCAATGGCCCGCATTGCAAATATTGTGAAAAAGTAATAATTTGGTTGAAAATCAAACATGGCAGTCAGTCTATCAACAAAATCATCAAAATCATGATATTGAAACAAATGGTGGCGGTCCAAGACTGGAACGAAATGGGTTCATTGCGTGTCCGCAAAAACAAACGTCCATATCCGTTTCACACGATTTATTATATTGATGTTCACATGTTTGGCCCTGTTTGCCCTCAATTCCCAATGAATCAACACTCGCCACTCGCCCAAAAAAATGGTTGCGGAATGCTGTCGATTTTTAATTTTGGTGTCCAATAAACCGTGACACCCTCACATCCCTTAATGCCACCAGCGTGTTTATGGTGGTGCCTGCATCCAGGGATTGGTCTTCGGGCCAGAATTCATCAGCCGTGTTTCCGCATACTCCCCATCGCAGGCAATGACCTTGAGAGTCACAGAAAAAAACAGGTTGGCGGTCAACCGTTGGCAAGACAAAGCACTAACATTGCATTGCCATGCGTGAAACGAATACAAAATATATCAAAATATATCAAAATATTATGCAGCCAAGTCTCTGTTGAATGCAATATACTCCATACCTGGCACTTCATCACCATGTCCGGACATAATTTTTTGTATTTTTTTCAAACTGTTCCCTCACACAGCCCCTGCTTACTTGGAAAAACAAGGGTGCCGGCTGTCTCGCCGCCCACACAAGGGTCAACGAGTGATTTCTCTTTGTTTTTTTGAAATTTGCTTCTCGCTGTGGTTTCGGAGTGATTCACTGTCTGTTTCACCTGAACCAGGGCTTCAAATTCACTGCGTTTTCCAAGGTTTTTTGTTCCTCTTTTCAAATGTACTGTTTTTTTCCATGTAAACTAAGGTTTTTTTTTAAGGTCCGAAAAAAAGTTTATTTTTTTGATTTTATGCAGTAGATATACATATATATATATATTTTAATGTATATCTATCTCTCTATCTATCTATCTATCTATCTATCTATCTGTCTATCTCCCTACATTACAACGAACGTTAACATGCCCCACCCCACCCCAACCCTTCAGTTACGTAGCATTGCAACATGTGTGCACATTACAACGAAAGTTAACATGCCCCACCCCACCCCAGTTACGTAGCATTGCAACATGTGTGCACATTACAACGAACGTTAACATGCTCCACCCCACCCCAACCCTTCAGTTACGTAGCATTGCAACATGTGTGCACATTACAACGAACGTTAACATGCCCCACCCCACCCCAACCCTTCAGTTACGTAGCATTGCAACATGTGTGCACATTACAACGAACACTAACATGCCCCACCCCAAAAATAACAACCCTCGTGGGGGCGGCGAGTCAGCCGCCTACCAAAAACAAGCAAACCCCAACAGAAAGCAACCCACATGATTCGGTTCTGCTGCCCGCAAGCCTCATTTTCTGTCACATTGGCCTCTGGCTGCGACAAAGCATCGCGTAACCGATGCACCCCCCTGGCGGGCAAACGTGGGGGAAAACAGTTGGCAAATTGTTGTTTGAAATTTGAGACTCTTATGTTTTTGGACAAAATCAAAACAAATGGCAAACCTTTAGCTTTGTTCAAGCATTTTTGCATATTTTTGCAATATTTGCGGACCCTCGTCAGACGGAAGGAACTTGTTGGCGCACAAATAACCCTCATTACGATCAGGCGAGGGTCCCTTGCGTTTCCTTTAGATCGTTTTGCCCCACCTATGCCAACATAGTTACTGTAGATCCTGGCTCAGCTCTGTGCGCGTCATGGGTTTCCTTTGTTTCTGAATTTAAATTATCAACCTATCTTCTGTTCCCACCAACTTGTGCCGTCAGGAAGCGCCGCCTGTCCGCTTCCCCTTTTGCGCTGCCGCTGCTGGCGCGATTGTGTCGCGCAGCTTGCGCGATACGCAGCTTGCGTCTGCTGCGAGTAGGCAGCGTGGCAAGGCAGGCAATGAGCCCGGAACAGTTGTCCACGCTGGCCCACGCTAGCCCCGTCAACGTGCGTGAACCCCTGATTTCAGCTGCCGTGCTGGCGCCGTTGCGCGATCAGCTTCTTATGCGGCCTGGCTCTCTGGGCCCGCTTGCAGCAGCAGGAGCTTTGCCTCGGCCTCGGATGAGCCCGGCAGCGCCCAGGGAGTCCGCCACCACCGCGGTGACGCACTCCATGTTTGGGCGCTGCCGAGCTCATCCGAGGCCGAGGCAAAGCTCCTGCTGCTGCAAGCGGGCCCAGAGAGCCAGGCCGCAACCTGATCGCGTAACGGCGCCAGCACGGCAGCGTGCAAACGAACCCCCTTCACGTCTTCTCGTCTGCGCGACTACGCGCATGCCCCCCCAGAAGCCAAGAACACGCTGAGCATCTCGTCTTCCACCATCTTGAGCGCACAGTCATCCATGCTGCCGTCCCAACACTTTACTGGGATAGTCTTTGCACGGGCAGTTGCACCAGTAGCTTCAAGAGAAACAGAGGGGCAGCTGGAAATGTACAAGATCGACGATAGATGAAACTTGCCAAAGCTGCATGCCTCACACTCTAAAAGGACTTGGTCCAAGTTCTTGAAGCCGACCAGAGTGTCTAAAGTTTGACCGGGAAGCACAGGAGCAGCCTCACGAGAGCTGCCAGCATACAAGAGCCACACTTCCATACTCCCCGTCAACCTCGCTCCATCTGCAACCCACGGCTTGATGCCAGTAGCTGCCTCCAAAAGGCCCTGGGCGGCCTTCACGGCCAATGGCCTGGACAGGGAGGTGCAGAAGGCCAGTTGGCACACAGATTGCTCTTGCTTTGTCAAAATCTCGTGGATCAACTCCACTGCACGGGGCCGAAAGCGCAGCGAATCAGGATGGACCGTTGTCTCCTCAAGGTCCAGCAAAATCAAACACCTGCTATCAGCAGAGACCTGATCTGCCTCCATCAGCTCCATGTCTGAAGTGGAGCTTTCACTTGGCTCATACATTGTAGGTAAATTCGTTGTTCGCAAGCTAGCCGTGTCAACTGCAGGAACCGCCATGTTGACCTGATAATCCAGTCGGTGGCCCAAATGGTCTGTTGCTGTCACAGAACCACAGCCTGGACATGGACACTCTTCACGGCCCCAGCAGAAGACACACACGTCCATACCTAGCTCACAAGTCTGACACTCCAACCAGTATATGGACCATCGGTCGTCCAGAGCCCCACAATAGAAACATGCTGCCATTGCAACAGTCCCCCGTGGAACAACAGAAAGGCGGGAAAAATGACAGTGAAAGCACTGACGCAGTGTATCTTCTTGTCTATGCCATGTTGATCTTTGTTGTTCCACGCCTGTCAGAAATTGCTGAGAAATGTTGAGAGACACCTTATGGTATATCAATCAAGATGTACACTTGGACATAATGCTGCAAATCTAACCAACCATGTCCAATGCAATTTCAAACCGAATTGGAGCAACTGTGCATTCGTCTCCATTGTTGCTTCTTCTATCCTTTCTGTGGTACTTCAGCCTGGAACTTTGAACCATAGAGGCTCCTGAATGGAAAAGAGTGGTTCTGACCTGACTGACTTGATGCTCTGGACTCTGGACATCCTCTTGAATGACTGGGGTGCTGCAAGGACTGGAGAAATCCTTACTTGGCATCATCTTTCCATGGCAAAGATGGCAACGAGATCAACAAATGATAAGAATCTGGTTTTCATCCCTCTGAATCTCAGACTTGCCGAAGGTGTTACAGACTGTTACAGAGCTTTTTTTGACCTCTGGCTAAAATCCGTCGCAAGGCAGCGACCGTCCAACAATGATTTTGCATCGTTTTATCTCGTTCAGTGAACTTGTAGATGAATCAATGGGCCAAAAAAAACAGGGTTGTTCAATACACGAATCGGCCAAAGCCCCTCCAAACCCTGTGGGTCCATGGGGAATCCACAGGCTTCCTGAAGTTTAAAATACACCCGTGATCACCCGTGCAATCCCAAGCCATTCTGCCCTCGCGTCATGTGCGACAATCAGCTGAGGCGCTCTTCCACCACTTTGATGCCGTGGCGAATGGCCACGATCTCCTCCTCCGTCTTCAAACTTCGCGCCTTGCGCACGGCCGTGGCAAGACTGTTTTGTGAGATTGAGTCCCTGATGTCCTGTTAGGAAAGTCATTGGGTGATTTGAAAAGAACATACTAAGGCTGTGAAATGGAACACCTTTCTGATCTTTCTGCCACTTGTGACAGAGTCAAGAATCTTTCTCTCGAATCAGATGTTCTACTTGTTCTACTTGTTTTCGACTTACTTATTGATGATAATGATGATAACGTATGTTCAGGTCATGCGAGACAATGTCTCTCCCACTGCCAATTCCAGGCGCATATTCGATGGGGATCTGCGCGTCAATGAGGTCAAATCCTTCCGACCGTGGGGATGTGAAACATTGATTGGGGCTCATGGCCAAATTGCACTAATTCTTATCATAAATGGATATAAAATGATATAAATGGCTAAAGAATCACAACATGTGGTCAATACTAGATTGATCTAGATTGTCTGGTCCATCTCGTCAATATTGATTTTTGCAGGAAACATACCCATACAGACTAGATTTACCATTTTTATGGAGGGTGAAGGAGTCAGATAGTTGTAAGGTTTGTGTTGGCTTTTTGCTGCTTGACATCTTGATGGGTAGCAAACCACTGGTGAAATTTGCAAAATGTTGGAATGAAAAAAGGAAAGGAAGGTCCCCAGCCTCTGTCTCGCAGTCCACGGGTTGCCCTGGCGGCTTGTGGCTGCAAGGCCAAGCAAAGAGACTGTGACATTTTGGAGGCCTTCCTGCAACTTCAAATGGAGGAAACTGATGGTTATAACAGTGATACCTGATGATCAGACATGCTAAGATTCAGTCCGGCAATCACACTCAATACGGCGGGAATAATGCGGGAATTAAGGTAATCATACTAGCAATCAATCAGCGTCATCATCGTCGCTATCATCTGCATCAACATCAAAATCCACCAACAAACTTCAACAAACTTCAACAAACTTCAACAAAATCAACATCAGCAAAACTCCCCCCGGTTTTAAAGCCGTGCCTTTCTTGAAACCGTTCCACAGCGATGCGCTTGCCGAAGGGACTCGTCTCTGCCAGCGGACCTTGTTTACAAGGGCTTGGAGACCATCGAATAAATGGTGCAGTATGGTGCAGTTGCAAATCCAAACAGGTCTGTGGCCATCCACTAGGCGTCAGCACTAAGAATCTCATCCATTTGATTCACCCAGTCATCGATCTTCTCATTTTCACGTGGACCAGCCGAAGCCATGGTAGCACCTCATGACGACCCGAATGGAAAGTGCATGAAATGTCCAAAGACTAAAGGAGTGCCTACTTGAACCAAACAGCTATCATGAACTGGGCTGGTGTTCTCTGTTTGGTGGCTTCCAGTGATTGGAGGTGGAAACTGTTGTTTTCATCTGTCTTTAACATCGACAGATCAAAGCCCGAAATGCGGCTAAACTCACTAGGAAAGCATCCTCTCCACTTCATCCTCCTACCCTTCCTTCCCGCCCGCCTATGGCTGGATGAAACTCCAGCGATCCATTGAAGGCTTCCAACAAGGTGTCGGAACCAAAGGATCCCGCGAAGAGGAGACACTTTGCACCTCAGGGATAGATCACAATGGCTCTGGGGGTGTGGAAAGCATTGTCCTGTCATACCTCAAATTGTTCCAAGATGGTGCCATCTGGTTTCTTTCAATCCTACCTCAATCTTCGTCCATGCTCAGTTTTGGCCGAGAAAAAAAAACGACATGTCTCATGAACCGAGGCACTTTCGTTGGTGGGCACCACCAGGTACTGCAAGGGATTACGGACATAGAACAGAACGGAATTGCCTTGGTCCCAGCCCATTGAAAGACCCAAAAAGGGCTCAACGGCTCAACGAGTGAAGTCATCGTTGCCCATGTCCATGCAGTCAGGCTGCGAAAGTCTACAGCATACCTGCACGCAACAGCACCAACCCATCCAAATCCTACCTCTTTGCCTACTGATAACATCTGATAACCTCCCACGAGAGAACAGAGTATGGCATCGCCGAGTATCGTAACTTTTCTAAATGTTCAAACAGTGCTAGACACTGAAAATAGACATGTGTTGCAAAAGCCATTGAACGCAGAACGCGCATAGAAAAAGAAACCAAGCGCCCTGTTTGTTTGACTGCAGAAGCCTCAATTGATTGACAATTATCCTTGCGACTGCAAAAGGTTACTTGTCACCACAACATCAAGAACACAAGTCTTAAAAAAAATAAAAATATTAAAACACGCTGAGCTGTGGATCTTGTCATAGGAAGGCTGGCAACCTGAAACTGCCGCCGCGGCCTTATATTGATTGGATCAAAAATCACTGCCGCCGTGACATTGTGGCGGCGCAGTTCTTCCCTCAAGCGCTTCAAACGGCCTCGGCAGAGTAATTTTGCAGGGCAGCGAATCCTTTGTGGATGTCATAAACACACAAGGAGGACAGATGGTCAACCCACCATTACTAAAGCTTATTTGATGGAATCGGCACAATCAACCTGCTTTTGTGTTTCTTTTGCTTTAGACAGTCACCAAAAATCTCAATTGAGCTCCCAAACACGTCTGAAATCGTCAGGAGCGAAAGCAATTTCTGTCTAAATGTAAGACCCCCAGATCACATGATCCTCAGTTTCCCCACTCAAATGGTGATCATTTGAAGCATCCTCTGTCCATCTCTGAGCCCGTGCCTTGACGGAGCCTAGTCATGAAGTCGACGTCATCACGAAGTCGATCTCCTTCTTCGATCAGTTCCTTTGGCGGAAAACAAGGTGCGTCTGGGCGGTTCCAATCTTGGACTTTTGCAGTCGGAGCAGCAAAAAAGGAATGGGATCCGAGGTGTTTTGAAGCACCCGACGAGTCCAAAATCAGGCCACTCTCACTTGGAATAATGCTCCATGATCACACGGTGGTTTAAACTTAGTGCAGGAAGCAACCACCAATCCCACCACGGATACCCTGCCAGTGGACACGGTTGCTGTAGCGCTGTGGCACGTCCACCATTCCGGAACAGGATGCATCAGCAAGCCTGTGAAGCCAATCACAGGGCAGGCTGGGTGGAAGGGGCTGCAGGTGAGGGTTTGTCCAGAGGGGATTTTCCGATTTACCCACAAGTTATTGCACCTGCGGCCAAGATTGTAGGTATTTGTAGTCAGTGCAAGGGAGTTCCAAACCGCACTTGAACATTCATGAACATTCATCCCGACTTCATCCCCTTGCCTTGCCCATGAGCTCAAAATCAGCAACCACAGAACTGCCATCATATGCCCAAGTGACACAGCGATGACAGAAACGTCGTGGCTTGAACCGCTCTGAGGGCGTCGTGCGCTGGAACATGGTGGAACATTGACACAGGCAGATCTGGCCCGGCACATCATGGCCCATCCCCAGCTCACATCAGTGGAATGGTTCCTGTAACTTTAGCAAACCTGACCTGCACGGTGCACACCATTTTTTGCGCCAAAGACGATGTCTCTCGTCGTTGGATGCCCTTGTGGCTAACTTAAACATGGCAAGCTGCAGGCAGTTTCAGATCCAATCCTTACTGCACAAGTCAATGGACATACCCAAACGTTAGGGTGCTTCCTGGCAATTTTTAATGGGTAAATCAACTGTAAATGGCCATTTTCAATAGCTATGTTTGTTTACCAGAGGGTAAATGAACCATCCAATTTTGGGTCATGAATAGGATATGACAAGTCACGAATAGCCTGGAAATTCTGCAGCGTTTTCAGTCCCAAAACTAGCTATAGCCGCTCCTATCATCTTGGCTCCCAGTACAAGATTTCTTCACATGACAAACTAAAGTAATTCAGCAAGGGATGTTCATCCCCTGAGGCGGCTTCATATCTCACATCGAAAAAATTGCTAGCCATTCACATCTGACAATGGCTGGTTCACTATGGTTCACTGGTGTTTTCTTTACCCTATTGATATCTTTTGATGTTCAACTTTGTTACACTGTGATCTGCAAGCAGTGTGGGATTGAACAATTGGGTGAGATATTCCAGCATTACCATTCTTCTGGGGAAGATGCTGATCAGATTTGGGAGCACCACATCTTTAGATGAAGTTGATGGTTTCAAGTTGAGTTTGTATCGAAATGATGTTTAAATATGTTGTACCTGCATTATTCTATTCAATTTATATGTACCCTCTGGTTATTTAACATAGCCATGGAAAATTGCCCATTTATAGTTGATTTACCTATCAAACATGGTGAATTTCCATGGCTATGTTAAATAACCAGATGGTAACTGGAAATATGATAATCCAAGTTTTTCATCAAAAAAAACCTGATAGAAAATTGTCTCGTGGCACCCCGCCGAGTGGCTGAAATATGCAGTGAGCGTTCACACCAAGGGGATACTCAGCTTCGACGGTGTCTCCCTGGACGCGGCGCTCATGTGGACATAAGTAGAAACCACGAGTTGATTACGCCCTTCAGTAGGTCTTTCAAGACTGATTCCATGCTCAATCTCTGGCAGTTCATTTAAATATTCATTAAAAACATATCATTTTTTGCTAGTTAAAACGATTAGTTTCCATATTTAGCAAGACTAACTAAAGGATTACACTCTGGTTATTTAACATTAGCGAACTGGAAAATCCCAACCATCAATGGAGGTTTAGTTCGCTGGGATCATCATCTATCCAAGGCTGGGGATGGTCATTCTGGTCACTGGCAACGCCACGAGTCGTCCCAAAGATCCCAAAGCGGAAAGTGTGAAGAATGGACATCTATTCATAGATGTGGACTTCGTGAAAACCATGTTAAATCTATGATCATCTATGATGATCTATGAATTATAACCAACCAGTAAACGTTTACATAGATGCGGAGAATCCATGAACATCCATTATTGGTAGATTCTTTTCATAGGGAAACCATGGCTTGTTCCACATCTATGTAAACGTTTACCATGAAATGGACATGAAATGGAATCCGCGAAAACCCCGATTTTTTTTAGGACAAATTCAACTATCATATTGTTAAGATCAACTAATATATCCCCATCTGATTTATGGTTTAATCAGCTTTAATCAACCTAACTTGCGCCTACCCTCCTTTGTAAACTAAGATAACTCTTGAACATCATATTATTTTTTTAGGTAATTGTCATATGTGTCAACTAATTAATGCACCATAGACTCTATGTTAGTTTACTAGAGGCTCAAACCATTTGACAGCGAAACTATAAAACTAACATGGACCCCGCAGGCTGCCCGTTGACGCAGGCCTCTGGTGGAGTTTCCAAGTTTGGACTCGGTCCAATCCTAAGACCCCGGGCCGAAATCGCGCAGAAACGGTGCCGAAAAAAGTCCAGAAAAGCTCTGGTGTATGATTCTTAATGGGGACCTATGGTTTATAACTCTGGAGTTGTAAACCAAGAAAGTGGGATTTCACCAGCAAAAAAATTGGGCTTATACAATGGGACTGCAATGGGAACATGCATGGAATAATGACTATATAGAGTAAACCCCATAGTTCTAACTTCAATAACTATAGTTTATGATACTTATAACTTATAACTATACTGTTCATGCGGTGAATCCCCACCAACAAACATACCTGGGGGGAAAAAATGCAGTGTCACAGATTCGATCATGATGTTCAACAATGGTTAATGACGGTTCATAATGGTGATTAATACTTACTATGAATAATGATGATTAGGATCATGATGATGTCTGTTATATAAAATATCATGTGGGATCCACCTAATGCCATAAAACATCCCACAATCAATCACCAATGTTATGGCTTGGATTTCAACCATCCCCAAAATTGGTAGTTAATGAGGTTGATTACTGGCTTTACCACATTATTCTTTTCCGATTCCTGACTAAAGTACCATAATTCATTAACTTGAAACTAGCTGAACCTAAATCCTCACCATCCTTCCGATGATCCGATCTGGACAATTGATACTTGGGTACGTACATAAAAAGTGATAGCTATGGTTGGATCATGAAACAACCAATTAATAGACGATTTAGAATGATTTAGATGTAATTTAGATGGATCTACCTAATATAGATGTAGGATGATATAGCTACTTCAAACAAGAGAACCATCACCAACCCCTGAAATACGCCTCTCCCACTTTTTAATTGGCGGACTTCCCATCGAAATTTGTTTTTTTTTGAGGGGTCGGAAAATTGACCCCCCATGGCAGGGCTTTGAGGTCGCAACTGCCAAATCTCCACTTTGGATGCTTGCCACCCAGCACCTGCGTCCTCGGCCAGGACATCACCCAGGACTTCGCTTTTGCTTGCGAAAATCTACAGAAAACATCAGAATTTACCATGGATTTACCAACCACAACTGTAGAGGTAAAGTGAAAAATATGTCATTAAAATCAATGGAAACAACAGTGAGAACTCACTGGCGTTTTAAAAGCGTGGACCGCTGCATCCCCACAGAAGACTAAACTCATCTGTGCTCTCCTGATCGATCAATCAATTTTGACCCATACCCTTTGGCAATCTAATCTGGCAATGGACAAAATTACTTTACTTCGTGTGATCCCCACCATGACATTTACGAACTGGCTCATCCCCAACCCTTGAAGTCATCCCCTTTGGCTTCAACCTGTAGTTGCAACATACTGTACCACCATTGCGGGGCCCAAATGACCACCCTTGCAGCCACCCTTGAATATTTGAACTGCTCTGCTCCTTGCACCAGCACATCCTAACCTACACCAGTGACAAGTGGAGGGTTTGAGCTACAGCGGCTACAGCGGCTACAGCGGCTACAGCGGCTACAGCGGCTACAGCGGGCAGTTGCGCTGTGGCGCTGTGTTGGAAGATAGCCATTGGCATCCAATCCACGAGCAGTGAAGCGTGCCAAACCTGCACGGTCAGTGGCCACTGTTTCACTAGAGCAGTTCTTTCTGGGACACCTGAAGTATACTGCCTGCTGAACAGGTGACCAGAAAATGAATCATCTACCGTATCAGGCAGCGAATCATTGGAAGTTCATCCCCAGGCACAAAAAGAAGCGACCAAAATCATCAGCAAATGACAAGTGAAACCAATCTCCAGCCTCATGCACTGCAAAGCTGCGGCGACTCCTGTAAAAAGGTCAACATGGGGTCCAAAATGCTCAAACTTCTGTGTTCCACGGAGTCTAAGAATTTTGTCTTCAATGTTCCAGTAAACTAAGTGTCTTGGGATCTCATGAGTGTCTCACAAATTCAAACTTTGGAGTTGGAGAAGTTAGCAATTTACTGAATTCCTGAAACTCATAAACTCGGAGTGAAAGTTTGAATGTTTGGATTTTCAAAGTCCTGGAAATGGCTCTCTTGTTCCGTACACTTTCTGGTGAATTCTTCCACCAATCCATCCTCCAGCAGATATGGCTCGGGCGGAACGTTGGTGGATAGTAGTTGAAATCCATCCTTCGACACACAAAAGCAGCAACGACAAACAACTCTGGATGTGCACGACTATATGACACATATATATATATACATATATTATAGTATATTACATATATATATAATACATATATTATATTTATATATGATGATTCTTGTATTAGAAACTCTGAACAGAAAACGAAATAGGATCCATAACATTCCATGACCCTCCAAAGTCTCAGGCACTTGTTCAGAAAAACATCATCAAGGTGAAAATCAAGAACGCCCCAAGACGCCATGCCTTGGTGATCACACCATGTTGTTCAAACCTCGAGGGCCAGGATGCTGGCTATCCACCTACAAGGATAGCTCTGGACATTGGTGCCAACATCAGGTTTTGCCACTCATGTGGTTATTTCATGTCATTTCTATTGGCCAAATTTCTGGAAAGCAAACAAATGTTCACAGCACCTGAAAAGATGGGCACCTGGGCACCTGTGTGATAAACACCAAGGACTAGGGTTCTTTACCAAATATATAAATGCTGTGAAACAAAAACTGTTGTGACCCTGACCCTGCCAGCTACAAACAAGGCCATGAATCATCAAATCAATCAAATCATTAGAATCCCACCAAATAAATGAGGGTATCAATACAAACAAACGCCATAAAGTAGTAATAACTATTCCAATCACTAGCTTCGCATCTACCTCAAAAAGCCAAGTGGTTGTTGTGAGTCAAAGCTCCGGTACCCTGTAGTACTGTAGTTCGCACCAAATAGTTGGTATTTGTAAAGCTGGATGTTGATCCCTTCAAGTTTATGGAAACTCATAGGTTTTTGAATGCATCCCCTTATGCCTCCATCCAGTAATCACACATGGTTTGCTGGAAAATCCCTCGTTTATGGATGATGTTCCCATTAATGTCTCTAATTATAGGAAATTCCCATTACTTGCCGGGACCGGCAGTTAGAATATGAAAGTTGGGGATTTATCGAAGTGAATTTTCGCCGGCAACAAGATTGCCGCGGAAGAAATTTGCAGATAGAATATGCCAAATGTGGGGTGCAGATAGAATATGACAGTACATAGTAAGTATGTATGGCGAATTATATGATTATATATTCTTTGAGTTTTCGAAGGAAATGACATAATAATTAGCTGTTGAAACAGATGCGTATCTGGTGGCTTTGCTATGGAAACAATGCTTTTCGAACACAAATTTTGTCGTCATTTTTTTCCCGTAAAGTTGTTGGTTGGAACGGTACAGACTGTTTGCTCTCTTCCTGGGTGCTTGTGGCGAAGAATGCGCAGCACCAGCAGCACCACGCAGAATACCAGCAACCAATTTGCGTAACGCAATGTGGTTTTCACAATGTTTCCTTCTTGTATGGATTCTGTTCTGGCTGCTGAAACAGATACTGAAATCTATCAACTTGTCGCCAACAAGTATAGTAGATTATAGTGGCCAAAGTTTCCATGGTACGAACTTGCTTGTCTTCTTGTGAATTCTGGTTGTGAAGATGCGCAGTTAGAATATGGTTTCGATGGTTTTATCATCGCTCACTTCCCTCGAGATAGCGATGGAGAGATAGAGAGAGAGAGAAAGAGTGAGAGAGAGAGAGAGTGAGAGAGATACAGATAGAGAGAAAGATTTCCGAGAGGTTGAAAGGTACGGTACAAGGCGTTCTTTTTTCTGAATCTTGGTTGTTAAACAGTGCAGCTAAAATATGGTTGGATATGATTGGATGGTTTCTTTCAGCATTCGCTTCACCACCAATGAGCAACACCAGCAGCACCACGCAACCACACAGAATACCAGCAAACAACTTGCCCAATGCAGTTTTGACCATGTTTGTTCTTGCATGGATCCTGTCCTGTTTTCCAGCATGCTGACAGAAACACGTACAGTAGATGATGTTGGCCAAGGTTTTCCCGAGGTTGGTTGGTACGGTAAAACTTGTTTGAACTGTTTGTGAATTCTGTTAGTGAAAAGTGCAGTTAGAATATTGATGTGTTTGGATGGTTTCTTCACTCACTTCACCACTCACTTCACCACCAACACCACCAACACCACGCAACCACACAGAATACCAACAACAACTTGTGCAATGAATTTTCCCCATGTTTGTTCTTGCATGGGTTCTGTTCTGGTTTACAACATGCTGTAAGAAACAGGTACAGTGGATTATGTTGGCCAAGGCTTTTTCCCGAGGTTGGTTGGTACGGCAAAACTTGTTTGAACTCTTTGTTAAATCTGTTGGTGGAAAGTGCAGTTAGAATATAAATATGTTTGGATGGTTTCTTCACTCACTTCACCACCAACACCAGCAGCACCACGCAACCACACAGAATACCGGCAAACAACTTGCACAATGCAATTTTCACCATGTTTGTTCTTGCATGTATCCTGTCCTGTTTTCAAACATGCTGAAAGAAACACGTACAGTGGATTATGTTGGCTAAGGCTTTTCCGAGGTTAGTTGGTAGGGTAGAGCTTGCTTGAACTCTTTGTGAATTCTGTTAGTGAAAAGTGCAGTTAGAATATTGATGTGTTTGGATGGTTTCTTCACTCACTTCACCACCAACACCACCAGCAGCATCACGCAACCACACAGAATACCAACAACAACTTGTGCAATGAAATTTTCCCCATGTTTGTTCTTGCATGGGTTCTGTCCTGGTTTGCAACATGCTGAAAGAAACAGGTGCAGTGGATTACGGTATGTTGGCCAGGTTTTTTTCCCGAGGTTGGTTGGGACGCTAAAACTTGTTTGAACTCTTTGTTAAATCTGGTGGTGGAAAGAGCAGTTAGAATATAAATATGTTTGGATGGTTTCTTCACTCACTTCACCACCAACACCACCAACACCACACAACCACACAGAATACCAACCAAACTTGTGCAATGAAATTTTCCCCATGTTTGTTCTTGCATGGATCCTGTCCTGTTTTCCAGCATGCTGACAGAAACACGTACAGTAGATGATGTTGGCCAAGTCTTTCCCGAGGTTGGATGGTACGGTAAAACTTGTTTGAACTCTTTGTTAAATCTGGTGGTGGAAAGCGCAGTTAGAATATAGATATGTTTGGATGGTTTCTTCACTCACTTCACCACCAACACCAGCAGCACCACGTAACCACACAGAATACCAGCAAACAACTTGCACAAAGCAATTTTCACCATGTTTGTTCTTGCATGGATCCTGTCCTGTTTTCTAACATGCTGAAAGAAACACGTACAGTGGGTTATGTTGGCGAAGGCTTTCCCGAGGTTGGTTGGTAGGGTGAAATTTGTTTGAACTCTTTGTTAAATCTGTTGGTGGAAAGTGCAGTTAGAATATAAATATGTTTGGATGGTTTCTTCACTCACTTCACCACCAACACCACCAGCAGCATCACGCAACCACACAGAATACCAACAACAACTTGTGCAATGAAATTTTCCCCATGTTTGTTCTTGCATGGGTTCTGTCCTGGTTTGCAACATGCTGAAAGAAACAGGTGCAGTGGATTACGGTATGTTGGCCAAGGTTTTTTTCCCGAGGTTGGTTGGGACGCTAAAACTTGTTTGAACTCTTTGTTAAATCTGGTGGTGGAAAGAGCAGTTAGAATATAAATATGTTTGGATGGTTTCTTCACTCACTTCACCACCAACACCACCAACACCACACAACCACACAGAATACCAACCAAACTTGTGCAATGAAATTTTCCCCATGTTTGTTCTTGCACGGATCCTGTCCTGTTTTCCAGCATGCTGACAGAAACACGTACAGTAGATGATGTTGGCCAAGTCTTTCCCGAGGTTGGATGGTACGGTAAAACTTGTTTGAACTCTTTGTTAAATCTGGTGGTGGAAAGCGCAGTTAGAATATAGATATGTTTGGATGGTTTCTTCACTCACTTCACCACCAACACCAGCAGCGCCACGTAACCACACAGAATACCAGCAAACAACTTGCACAAAGCAATTTTCACCATGTTTGTTCTTGCATGGATCCTGTCCTGTTTTCTAACATGCTGAAAGAAACACGTACAGTGGGTTATGTTGGCGAAGGCTTTCCCGAGGTTGGTTGGTAGGGTGAAACTTGTTTGAAATCTTTGTTAAATCTGTTGGTGGAAAGTGCAGTTAGAATATAAATATGTTTGGATGTTTTTTTCACTCACTTCACCACCAACACCAGCAGCACCAACCACACAGAATACCAACAAACAACTTGCGCAATGCAATTTTCACAATGTTTTTCTTGCATGGGTTCTGTTTTGGTTTGCACCATGCTGAAATAGATGCTAAAATTCATCAACTCGTCTCGGACAAGTATAGTACAGTAAACTACGTTGGCCGGAAAAAATCCCTTGAAGCTGGTTGGTGCCGGACAAGGCCCTCTGTTTTTTGTTGTGAGTTCTGGTTGCGAATAGGTGCAGTTGGAAAAGGGTTTGGATGGTTTTTTTCACCGCTCACTTCACAAAGGACAGTATTCATGACAAACCTTTCTTATCTATCATATCTGTTGGTTTTGCTATGATGAACCGATTGTCCCCAACCAGTAATTATAGTAGATTTTGTTGGCCAAACACGTTCCCTTGAGGTTGGTTGTTATGGTACAAAGTTGTTTGCTCATTTTGTGAATTCTGGTGGTGCACGTGTGCATGCAGTTAGAATATGGTTTTGAGTTTTGAGTGCTGTCAAGTCGCACTTCCGTTGGAATGCTTTCACGCAGCAGCAGTAGCAGGGTCTGCGGCTCTTTGGGCCGCAGCATGTTCATGTGGTTCATGTGTGCGGCTCATTAGGCGGCAAGCCGCAACACAGTCATTGTTTTGTGCGGCTCTTTGGGCCGCATGTTTCGAGATACGCTTGCTTTGCCCTTATGAATCTGCAGCTCCTTGTCCTTTTGGTTGTGCACCAGGCTCACAATAACTCCCAAGCTTGGCACTCAACGCAGGAAACAAGTGGACAAGGCAAAATGAAGTTATCACAGGCAAATGACGTGGGTAGGTTTCTTTTGCGGCCTGGTTGAAGCAAACCGTAGTTAGAATATGAAAGCAACCATGCGGCATTCCGAAGGAACAGCAACTCCATTGTGTAGCTAAAGATGTTTAAGAACTTTGTGCTGCCCCTGTATTACATCAAACAAACTCAATTCCAACGATGTCCAATGTGACAGCTGAGCAATGTGTTGTGGACGGGCTCCTGAAGGCAGCATCTGCCAAGGTTCTTTCAGCTCAGGATCTGGCTAGGGAGCGCAGATCCTTGGGACCTGATGCGGATGGTGCAATGGAGCCTCGGGCACCCTTACCACCTCCTTCATTACCACCTGATGATGGTG